ACGCATCAACATTGCTTTCACTGAAACAAAAGTCCAACTTCCCTGCCTCTTACTCTGCCCTTACTGGTACTTCCAACATCACTAATCAGTAGTAGAGCTTGGAAGAACTGGAATTCCAATAATACTTTATTCATTGTTTGGTTGAGATGACGATTGCAATAGCCAATAGGTATTTTAGATTCAAGTCCATGTTTCTTGGTTGGTGGCTTGCAGGCTTGGTGTAATAAAAAAAATGCAATTGCCTTGACGCTAACTTTAGCTGTTACAAAATTCTTGCTAGCATTATATTCAGATTTAGTCTCCTGGAAAGCATCGATGACTGGAGTACTTATTGCAGCCGATGGCTTCATCCGTAGCAGCTGAGCCTGAGACTAAGAGTATAGTACCTTTCAGAGAAATAGATTTTAATTTAGAATTCAACAGAAAGTTCACCTATTGAAAGGTGCAACTCGAGAGAGCAATAGGTCCAAGAAATAAAGCCCACAAAAAAATTATGTCCATTGACTCCATTAAGCTGGAAACTTCAAAACCAAGCGTAAGTCATGGGGCCTTTCTCTTCACATTCCCAAAATAGAACGTAGATACAGCCGGCATTGGTTTTCAACTGGGAGCTTTGAATTCAATGACCCATCTGTTCCCCTCATTACCATGCCCTTCACAGCAGCAACGGATTAATTTTTTCCTCTAAACCTGACTGCATTTAACAGCTGAAAGCATTTGTCCTTCTCCCTGGTTTATCTACATGTTTCCGACCCCCTATAATTTGGACACCACTGCTAACTATGGTAATGCATGTTTCTAGTCCCTTATAATTTCGACATCACTGCTAACAACAGTGAAATAACACATGGGATGGCTACCTTTTTTCCTTGCCAAAATCCCTTTGCAAGGGACCCATCATCTTCATCTTGTACAAAACCATAGTCTGCAAATCAGAATTTGTTTCTTCACGTGATTGTGTCGACTAGAGACTCCGGCGGGGTGGACCTAAACGAAGCAATGAACATTGCTTAGAACATGCAATTTATAGGAGGGAAAAAGAGTTTGTAGAATCTACTAAATGATTCAATCCCTTTACAGCCTGACCTGTTTTCTAAATAATTCAACCTCGAAATTCTAGACTCTAGAGAGTGGAGAGAATGCAACCAATTGGAGTAGACTGCAAGTATAATTGGATTGGATGACCACATGTAATGGCATTTGCATTAAATTCATCATTTGTTATAGGTAAAAATCCAAGAGGATTGCACATATGTGCCTTCCTCCTTGCAGCAATTTGTCTTGGTGCCAAAAGGAGAAAAAATTCCAAGGTCATAATCTTAATAGGATTCCTTGAACAATTGTGATATAGCTGAATCTCCAAATTTCTCTAGTAATTCGAGATGGTGTTCCTACTGGCCTTAGCCTTCTGAATTGTTATGTAGTCTTAGCAGGCAACTCTTTTGAGCACTTCTCAATTCACTCCGAAAACCTATTGCTAAATCACGGAGGATGAGTCTATTCTTACCATACATGCTAGTGAAAGATGAGCCTATAACCTTGACTTTGCGACTATGATGGTGACACTAGCATCCAGTTCAGATGAGTTGAAAGATCAGAAACCGATATTCCAAGAGAGTAAATGATTGGCTTAAATATAACAAAACAAGAATTTGGTTTTATGACTGTTGGATTGACAAACTTGGGAACAACCCGACCAAGTCACAACCTCTCTGGATTGACATGCCAAGTTGTCATAGCCCACCTGTTTTATCCTTTCCAGGGACTGAGATAGGACACAGGACAGGCAAAATTTTACGTCCATCACAAGTTAGTGCAATCCTATATTCAGTTTTGAGTACAATGCTAGTGCAAGTTAGACCTTTTTAAAGCAGCCTTAGCTAAATATGTCCAAGAAGAAACTGATATGACAGGCTGATCAGGATTAAGGGCATGATAATATATTGGTTAGATTCATCAAGCAATAGAAATCTCAAAGTTCCGGACAAAACAAATGTGGAAAAAGCAGATATGATAGCTCTACTGTTCATGGATTCCATATAACCAACAATTCTTCACAGAAGAAAATCAATTCAGAAAACAATACCCAAGGTCTTGTAATAAGGCATTTTTTGAAATGAATTACTTCTCAAAGGGTGTCAAAGCAAATTAAGTATTAGCTTTAGGGAATTTTAGGGAATAATAATGCCATTTGCATTAATCTTTTTGTAACCATCCAATGGTTGGCTCAAATAGCAAATAAAGTGTGCACTTCGTTGCTTGGCTTCGAGTTCACTGGTTATGAGAAGATTATTTCTCATGAATTTCTTAGACCTGACGTAGATAAATTTATTCAAACTAATCTGGGGAAGAAATGCATTAGACAAAGTGTAGGAACTCCTTGCTACTAAATTAAAAAAAAAAAAAATCATTGGTAACATTGGGTTAATAGGATCGAAATTGAGTTACAAGTAAAGCTAAATTTGTTCCTTTTTCATTTATGAAACCCACCTAAAGTTTGCAACAGGGTTGAGAGAATTGAATTCTACAAGGCTGTGATGTGGTGACAATTACTGAAAGTTGCACCTGCTTTGTACTTTGCTTCTCAAACTTTCGAGCTGGAAACAATACAAGCCTCATTCACAAATCCGCTGTTATGGAGTTGTTATCTAGACCAAAATTTGCCTGGAGAATTCTTCTATTTCAACATTGTATGGTCTATAATCCGTTTGCTAAAGATTTTTTTTCATAAAATTGATTTTATAACAAATTTCATACTTTTGAGTTCCCTTAGTTTGAATTCTAATAACTCGGTTTTCATTTGGATGAGTTGCTGGAGTCGTTTTCTTCCCTTTTTTTTTGCATAAAGTTAGGATATTTAGATCAATACAAGCATTTTTTTTCTTGGCTTTTAGAAAATGTTCATTACCTTAATATTTTCAAAGAGATTGAGGATGTTTTCAAGTCAAAGATTCAAATAATACTACTTTCATCTTTCTCAAAACCTTTACATCAGACCCTTTACTAACAGATGCATATGAGGGTTTAATATAAAGTTAAGAATATTAGTTGAAATTTTGAGATTAAGAATAAATTTTTATTTTATAATCTTAAATTTTTTTTAATTTAACCCTTTCTTGAAATTCCTAAACGAAAAAGAAAAGAAAAAAAAAATGGTTAGCACTTGTTAGATTAAACTTGGTTTAAACTATCCGAGCCCAAGAAGTAAGGCCAATGGATTTAGTCTGCTGTTTATAGGCCCTCTCCTTGATTTTCAAAGCCCAACTTTTATATGCCCGTTCTCAACATAAAGAAAGATTCAATCATCATTTATTCCGCATCATAATAAAAAATTTCAACATAAGATGCACTAAAAATATTTTTTTCCTTCAGAAAAAATTAAATATGCACATAAAAATATGAAAAAAAATATTATATTTTACATTTTAAAAACTAAAAAAATAAATTATAATTAATTAATACTTTTATATACTAATTATTGTTAAAACTTAATAATAATATATTTATAAGTTTCAAATTTATTGATTTTTTTACGGAATTAATCATGTATATATTTATTAATAAAAATAAAATAAATTGAGATTAAGAATAAATTTTGTTGCATATTCTTAATCTTTTTCTAGTTTAACTTTTTTTCTTGAAATTCCTAAATTTTCTTGTAAATGAAAAAAAAAAAAAGAAAATGATTATTACTTGTTAAATTAAGCTTACTCCCAACTACGTGAGCCCCTGAAATAAGCCCAAATAGTCCATTAAGTCTTGCTTTGCTCTCCTGTTTATCAGCCCTCTCCTTGATTGCAAAGCCCAGCTTTGATATGCCCATTCTCAACATGAAGAAATACTCAATAATCAAGGCGTAATTTGTAACCCAAATTTAACACTTGCCAATAACAAGTTCAGATTGAGATTCAATTATTTAAATAATTGTAAATTCAAAAATAATAATAATAAGGGGTTAGTTTAACTAATTAAGATTCGTCTTTTTTTATAAAGAGATTTTGAATTGAAATTTTGTCGGTAATCATTTATTAAAGTCATCTCGAATACACGATTTACAATCATCTGTCTTAAGCTTTTAAATATAATACATTTTGTTCTAACCTAAAAAACTAAATAATTTATCTACTCTCGGATTTCTTTTGACAAAAAAAAATTGTAAATTCAAGAATTATTTTGGAAAATGGGCAATAGCCCAGCTCATAAATTTATTGGCTTTCACAGTTCTTTAATGTATATTTTCCTTATTAAATTTTTATTATTATAAAAGAAATTTATAAAAATATGTTAAGATTTATACATTATATACTAAAGTATCATGAATGTCTTAAAAATACATCTTCCCTTATTGTGAAATTTTTATTAATTTAATTTATTACATTATGTTTAAAATTTTAAAAAAATTGAGCACAATTAAATAATTTAATTTTATTATTAAATTTGAATACAATGGATAATTAAAAATTTAAGGTATTAGATATAATTAATTTTGTAGTAAATTTTATACAGTCCTAGCAAAAGTTGGAATCTCCAAAACTATAAAACTTTTCTGTTATGTATAGTTCTGCGTTTCCCATTGCCATCCTTTATAAAGAAACCTTACCTCCCGCCCTCGAATATCTATCTATTTCTTTATTTCCCCCCTTGCCATTCAACCTTGGCTTCATAACCTCGAATTTCTTCTCCGCAAGTATCACCCCTTTTTCGATTTCCAGATGATATAGGAGATTCGTAACAAACCCTCTCCTGCTCACGAGGTATAGTAATTGAACTGTTATGTCTTTTATTTCATCGTTTCTCATCTTTCCATGAATCATGAATGCAACTCGATCCTTTTTGAAATTTCAATTTTTTAGTTCAAAGGAATACTTTCAGTATTTTATTGTGTGATTAAACACCAAATCCGTAATTTCTTTGGTCTGAATTGATTTAATAAACTTCTTTTTTTTTTTTGCTCTGAATGTTGTTTTCCTTCACTTAGAAACATCAGAATCTTTTAGCTCATGGTTGTTTGGAACATCTGTCGTTGTTTGTTAATGGTGCATGATCCGTAGTTGACATTACAAATTTTTCTTTCTACTAGATAAAGAGGTTGAATCCCATGGAATTGAACCCATATCTGGAAACTGGTTATCGAGACGATGCAGATGAAAAAACAAAGGACCCACTTTCATCTTCTTCGCTTGTGGGGGATGGAGGTGCAAGTTGGAGACTTAAAGCTGTTAAGCGTGCCGAAGAGCAAGCTGCTCGACAAGGAAGGAGGCTTGAGGAGGTATGTTTTCTCAAGTACTGTAAATCCCTAACGTTTGTGATTTAAGAACAAAATTGGAGTGGTGGAAGGGTGATCCTTCTTTCATACTGTATAAAAGCATGACTCAATTATCCTTTACTTGTTGAAATAATGCAGGTTGTTCAAGAACGCTGGGGTTCCATTGATCTGCTGGCTGTTTGTGGAGCATCTCGTAGGGCTGCTGCACCTCGTGCTCATCTACATGCCATAAGAAATGGAAAACAACTGCAAGATGAGGAGAAACAAAAAGTTGCAGATAATGAAAGTGAAAGAGGTTGCACAAAGGTACTTGCAATGATACCTAGTTGTGTTTCTCTGTCTGTTTCTTTTTAAACGCAAATTTTCATATATTGAGTGTACAGTATCTATTATCATAGGTTTGAAGCTTAGGAACCATCTTCGGGCTTCTTCTCTTTTCTTTGTTCACTTTTTCCTATTTTTTTGAGAATTTTAGATTGTAAAACAACTAATGTTCTCCTTGCTGTCCTACATCATTAAGCTTTTCCTTCCACAATTAATTTTGTTTGTTTTGCCTGTTTGTCACTTTTATCAGCTGGAAGTTGACAGCATGAGGGCAAAGCTGAGCACTAAAGAGCAGACTGTTGACCATGCAAGCAGGTAATTTATCATCTTTTGATGTCATTGGTTTTCCCTTTCTGAATGAGCAGTTTCAAATGAGAGTAAAGCTGTAAGCTCATACCCTTTTATGAGATGATTTTCTAGGATATCAAGCTTAAGCAAATTGCAAAGTTTACTTTCTGTGTTCAGTTCTTTTCGGGAAAAAAAAAAGAATCAACTTGCCTTCTATACCATGATATTCTGTGCCTTTAGCAGGTCATTATCTTTTGACAGTCTGTTTTAGACCTTGTAACTAATCCTGATCTTATTGTAATAATATTACTTTCTATCTAGGTGTGTGGCTTACGATGTCTCGATGCGAAAAAGAAAGGATGATGATGATGCTGATAAGCATGTTGCTGGGAGAATAATGCACAACAAACATTATAGTGTATCTGGTCGGGCAGATGATGAATATGATTATGAAGATGGCCCGAGAAGAAAATCTCGAAAGAAGGGCGGTGGAAATGATCAGAAGGTATCTGGAAACAGTAATTTGTCAAAACGCATATTGACTCAGCAAGAGCGCTGCCTTTTCTGCTTTGAGAACCCAAACCCGCCAAAACATCTTGTTGTTGCTATAGCTAATTTCACGTACTTGATGTTGCCACAATGGCAGCCTGTTGTGCCAGGTCACTGTTGCATCTTACCATTGCAGGTAGGTTCTATCTATGGTGTCCTTATCTCTTGTTTTGTCCTTTACTGTTAACTAGATAGATTGTTAACATGTTGAGTTGAGTCATCTTTAAGTATAAGTCATGACTTGGAAGGATTTGAATATTATTCTCTTTCTGTTTGCATTTCATGCCAACTAAATTATTTGTCTTTCCATTGAAATATGAAGAGTTCTTTAGATACCTTTAGAAACTAGGAGCAAAATGAACTTATTTCAAATGTGGTCTAAAGCATGATAAACTTGTTTCATTTCTAGGGGAAAATGACACTTTCATTATTTCATTGGCTTTCCTAATTATAAGTGCTAATTTCAAGTGGGAACTTTTTTGCCTTCACAGCATGAGTCAGCCACAAGAACAGTCGACAACTATGTGTGGGAGGAAATTCGTAACTTCAAGAAATGCTTGATTATGATGTTTGCTAAGCAAGAGAAGGAGTTGGTGTTCTTGGAAACTGTGATGGGCTTGGCACAACAACGTCGCCACTGTTTGATTGAATGTATTCCTTTGCCAAGGGAAATAGCAAAACAGGCCCCTTTATATTTTAAAAAGGTTAGATTTCTTCTACTGATTCTAGTTTTTGATACATCTGTTTGATGTTTTTCATCAAAATCAATAGTTCTGAAGGTGGTGTTAGAAGCAGCAACTCTGTTGTTATTGAAACACGGGACTTGATTATTCTCTATAAATGAACCATTAAGATATACCAAGCAGCATGTATTAACATTAGGTTGTGCATTGACATATGTGTTAACTAAATTGAGTAACATCAGATTGTTTATTCCCATATGTATTCTGCTGGGAACACCTACCAGCAATCTAACATTTTCATTTTATGGTATAGTTGGAGTACTTTTTTCATTAGTGTAATGTTCTAAAAGAAGTTTTGTCTCAGGCAATTGATGAAGCTGAAGATGAATGGAGCCAGCACAATGCAAAGAAGCTGATAGATACCGGTGGCAGGGGATTGTGTGGTTCGATCCCCCAAAACTTTCCGCATTTTCATGTTGAATTCGGTCTAAACAAGAGCTTTGTCCATGTAATTGATGATGAAAGTCAGTTCAAAAGCAGTTTTGGCATTGATGTTCTAAGAGGTATGCTAGCACAGGATCCACATAGGGTTGGCATCGGGGCGGGTTTTGCTCGCCCCGAACCCGATCCTACCCGAAAATTTTTTTGGTTTTTCATACTCGAACCCGACCCGAATCCGACATCATGTAAACTATACCCGACCTGACCCGAAATTAATAAAATATTATTTTTTTAATATAAAATATTATTTTTTAAATATAAATATTTAAAAATATCATTATATAAATATATATAATAAAAAATTAAAAAATAATTTTTTATATAATATCGGATCGAGTCGGATCGAGTTTTAGGCAAACTCGATCCCGACCCGACCCCGATTGTCTCCTTATTTTACCCGACCCGACCTGACCCGATACCCGAATTAAAAAAAAAAAAAAAAACTGACCCCATGGGGTCGGGTCGGGTCGAAACCCGTCGGGGACGGGTTAGTTCGCCGTCCCTAGATCCACATCATGGCAAAAGGCATCAATCGGTGGAAGAGCAAAAGCTTGCGTATGCAAGTTTTGCTAAAGAATGGGAAGCTTTTGACTAGACTAAACATCTTTGACTTGTTAAAGACGGTGATGGATTTAACTAGGGACGGCAATCAAGTCCGTCCCCGACGGGTTTCGGCCCGATCTGACCCTATAGGATCGGGTTTTTTTTTTTTGAATTTCGGGTTTTGGATCGGGTCGGGTAAAATTTTGCAAACAATCGTGGTCGGATCTGGTTCGGGTATGCCTAAAACTTGACCCTACCCGACCCGACATTATTAAAAAAATATTTTTTAATTAATTAATTATTTATTTATATAATGATATTTTTAAATATTTATATTTAAAAAATAATATTTTATATTAAAAAAATAATATTTTATTAATTTCGGGTCGGATCGAGTCGGGTTTAATGAAACATAAAATCGGGTCGGGTTCGGGGCGAGCAAAACTCGACCCGATGCCATCCCTAGATTTAACACATATTTAGATTCATTTTGCTTTCAAAGTATATCCAAATTCGAATCACATTTTTTTTAAATCAATCCAAATCAAATTTTGTCAATTTAGTTCGATTTATTATATTTTAAAATTATTTTTAATTTTTTATAGCATTTTAATATCATTTTTAATATATTTAAATAAATTTAAATTAAAATAATTATGTAATTTCGAATTAATTTTTAATTTTTTCAAAATTTTACTGGCCTTACATACAATTGAATCTCAACAAATTCTAGTGTAAAATTAAAAATATTCTATGTATTTGTATTATTTTGCAGCAAAGTGATTACACAAGTACACAAATCAAGATATTCATTAACACGTAAGAAAGTAAAATAAAATCAAACCATAAGTAAAGGAAATAAATATTTTAAAAAAAAGGGAAAGAAAATAAAAGTAAGTAACAATTAATTCCTAACTCAAATGTTTTTCCTTGATTGGGGTTAGCATTGTTAATAATTTAAATATAATTTACCAATTAAAAATTCCTAAAACGTCTCGACAGTAACATGAAAAATAAAATCATTCAAAATCTAAACAAAATTCATTTTAATATGATTTTCCCGATTTAAGTAATTTTAATTTTAATTTTTTTTTGAACATTTTTTCATTTTTATAATTTTTTAGAATATTTCAAAATGTCGAAATTTTTTAATTTCAGAAAATTTTAAAGAATTTTTTAATATACTTTCAGATTAAAAAATTTAGTTTTTTTTTTTATTTTCAAAAAATTTCAAACAATTTTTTATTTTTTATTTTCGATTTTTTAAAAGTTTTTATGTATTTTTTAAATTTATTTTTATTAAAATTTTCATAAAATGAATTTTAAATTTTTTATTTTTTATTAAAATTTTTAGATTTTTTAAAAATTTTAAGTATTCATAATTTTTATATTTTTATATTTTCTAAAAATATGCCATTTTTATTTTTATATTTTTTTAAAATAATTTAATTTTTTAATTTTTTTAATTTTTTTTAATATTAATATAACCATCAATAATGTAACATTGATTGAATTTTTTTATACATATTAACATTTTATTGGATATTAATATTATATTAATAAGTTAATTAATGATATTAATATGAAATATTAAAATAAATAATGAAATAAAAATTTATCATTAAATTGATAATTTTATTTTTTTAATATCAAATTAATAAAAAATAATAAAGAAGCTATTTTTTTATTTAATTCAATAGGAATTATTTTATGATAGTCAACGTGCACGTGACTTACATGCATAACAAACTCAATTATATTTAAAGCAATGAAAGAATTCTAACCCAACTCTTTTTTTAGGCCCTTTTTTTTTTCTTTTTCTGGTCAATAAACTTTTGCATTCGCAAGCAAACATCCGAAGCCAAATCCCAACCCCACAACCCCGGAAAAGAAAACCTGAAACAGTAAGGAAGAGAAGAGTTAAAGAAATCCAAAAATAGCTGCTTAAAAAGAAGACCAATCTCAACAAAAAAAAAAAAAAAAAAAAACCAGAAGTAAAAACAATGGCAGTTACATCCCATCTGGCAAAGCTGAGCTCTGTTCCTCTAAACCGTCATGGGTCTTCCTCTTTTTCTTTCTCACTGCTTCCATGCAGCGAATTTCTTCATATTCAAAGCAACACAGCTTCAATGTCAACCAGCTGGAGCTTGGGCATAAATGGCTCAAGGAAGCAAAGCAAACCCATGTCGGTCCGATGCATGGCTTCCTCATTTGGATCCAGACTTGAGGAGAGTGTTAAGAAGACCGTGGCTCATAACCCAGTTGTTGTTTACTCCAAGTCTTGGTGCTCGTGGGTTCAAATCTCATCATTCTCCAATTTTTTATTTTGAAATATTAAAGTAATTTTGGTGATTCGTTGTGCGAATTGGGTTCTTTCAGACAGATTTGAGATGGGAATTTTTTCTTTGTTTGCAGGTATTCTTCGGAGGTGAAATCATTGTTCAAGAAACTTGGTGTGAAGCCTTTGGTTATTGAATTGGATGAATTGGGTTAGTCTTCAAATTTTTGCTACTTTAATGTGTGTGTGTGTGTGTGCGCGGGTGTATATATATATATAGCTTAGGTTATTCATTGCCAAATGTTTTAGAGCTACTATTTTCCTTTTTTATTCTTTTAGTTCTCTTTGACCTTTTTTTTTTTTTTTGTAATTCTTTATTGGATTACTTGATGATGATAAACAGTGATTTTTTATATCTTGCTGAATTTGAATTTTCCATATAGTTTGCATGAAATGCATTTTTCTTAATAAATGTGATTCAATGAAAACGGCTGAACGTTTGAATTGTTGAGGAAATTTTGTGTGCCCTCTTGCTTCTGCCTGATGAACTATAACTTTTAGCAGAGTCTCCTCTTTGCTTATTGGCATTGCCCAAGTTGATTGATTCATAACCTCGACTGAGATGTTGAATGCAATGATGTTTGAATCACGCAAATTTAGAAAATACCAACTATGAAATTTTGGTATATTTGCTGCTTAAACATAGAAAGAAATAATGAAGAATGAAGATTTGAGGGAGGCTAAATTCGCCATTTGGATGAAGTTAAAATGAAATTTAAGGGCGACTTTTAGATCTTCACTACGCATCTGGAAACCCTTTGAAATAATGAAGGCCTAGGATTCATAACCGCTTTTGGCTTGTTATTGTAACCTTGAAAATTTTAACCAGTAAGATAAGTAATCAGTGTAATACTTTTTAAGTCGTAGTACTTTGAAATCGCAACAGTAAGATCCAGTCCATGCCAACATAAGTCACCATAGATCACATATCATTATATGATACTTTCTCTTTGAAAAATTGGTGTGGGAAAACATTTTTCTTTTTCAAAAGAATGGGAGTTTTCAGGTTGTAATTTATGTTACATTTCTCCAATTCAACAGAAGCTCAGTATGAAATTTAATATCTCAAATTGGAGTGTGCTGTCAGTTACTTTTCATCTTAATATTGATCTTGCATAACATAAAGAGTTCTATCTTTTTCAGGTGCCCAAGGGCCCCAAGTGCAGAAGGTGCTGGAGCGGCTTACTGGGCAACATACTGTCCCTAATGTTTTTATTGGTAAGTAGTGCTTTTCTTGTATTAGCATTTACCTAACAGATAGAGAACTACGTTGACTGTAAAACGGTGTTCATGGCTTATTGCTTTTATATGTATAAAATCCTTACCAATCCATTTGTTATGTTTAATGTTTACATCTATGGATGGATGTAGTATCACTTTGTCTTGTCAGGTTGGTCTTTACTAACAGAACAGATGTTGATCTTAGTCTAATAAGAAAATCAGTATGAGCAGCAAGTACCAAATTGCATTGAACATGCAATTGTTGCTGCTCTCTACTTCTGTAGTACAAATGCTAGGATCTTGCATAAAAAGTGCAGAATTCATGTCCATCTTCTTTTCTTTCCTTTTCCCTTCTTTCTTTCTTCTTCTTCTCCTCGTAAGAGGGGAAAAAAAAAGAAAAAGAAAACACCTACTTTTAATCTATAACTCTCCTTGAGAGGACATGCTGCTTTAGTTTTCCAATCTTGACTCGGCAATTTCATGCTGAGAAGCAAAATGTCATACCATTGCTGCTATAATTAGTTTGTTGTGGCAGTTTAAACATTTCCATAAAATATGGCCAAGTTTAAAAACTTGGCACTTGGCTTATGTGTTAATGGCATGTTTCATTTTTTTGTTGAAATTTTGGACATGGATATAGTGAAACACACTCGAAAGCAAGATTTAGGCTTTAGATTTTTTTTTTTTCAGTTCAAGTTCTGGTAAAAGAATCACTTACGAAAACAACAGCCTTTTTTTGGTTTTGATTCTCAAATGAATTGCAGTGACCAAAAAACATTTTTGTGTTTGGTTCTTGCTCTATGATACTTTCAAAATACAACCTTGGGAACTTTGTTTAATGTTATTAGTGAAACAAAATCTAGCAATTCTAATTTGTCAGGAAGTGCAGTTTCTGTTATGCTATTTTTTGCCTTTTTGTTTTTCTCCTTTTTCTCTCTGAAATGTTCTTAGTTATATAATGACAACTAATGCTCTAATCTCTATCTGCTTGCACAGGGGGTAAACAAGTTGGTGGTTGTACAGGTATTCATGCATTTTCTTCTCTTGAATTATACATTAATTTAGAGGAGGCCTAGCCACATCTTTTACTAACCCGGAATGTATCTAACTGCTAAAATGAATCTTCATAGCAGATTCTCAATTAAAGACATTAAACTTTTGAGACATTTCGTGAATAATGTTATACACCCTTCTACAGTTTTGTGGATTTATTGATTCTTTCCATCCTGCCCTCCTTAAAAAAACGTTTTACTTTTCTAATATATAATCTTCAGTTTTGGCCGCTAGTAGTTCCATAATCATTGGCTCTTAACTTTTTGGATGTACAATACGATTTTTTAAATGATTTTAGAGTTCTTTGTTGTTCTTTTTTCTTTTTTTTTTACTGTTTGAGTGACTTGGGTTTCCTTGGAGTAAGAGACACTTTCTTGTAGAAGTCAAGTGAATCGATCTTCAGTTGTTATTGTCGCTTCATGTTCTGGTGCAGATACTGTCAAACTATACCATAAAGGAGAACTGGAATCTTTGCTGTCTAAAGCTACTGCTAAAAGTAAGGAAAACTAGCTCATTTGATATGATTCCCCCCTGGCAAACTTTGGATCCTCTTACAGGGCATGCCACTTTCCTGCGTTTATAAGCAGAAATGTTTTGTTCTATTACATTTATTTACTTCAGAACCCCAGAAGTTATTTCTTTATATATCTCCATTCAAATTGTATATTCAAATTGTATCTCATGTGAACCTTGTTTGATAATATGACCACTTTTAAACCAGTAGGATTTAGTGATTCTTGAGTTTCTTGTTAAAAAAAAAAAGAATCGAAAGATAATGTTGCAGGTTACCGAGTACTTGAGAGTTTTTTCAAGGTACTATTTTAGTTGTAACTGGTTACTTTTAGAATTCATTGTGCTAAAAGATTAGTTAATTAATTTCTTCCTCCTTTCTTTCCTTCCTCTTTCCTAATAAACATGTAATGAGAAAAGAATTGATGAGATCTTCTGATCATGGACATGGAGGTGAGGATGTCCCCAACATGCAATAGCACTTAATGAATGCCTTGTAGGATAGAATCTAAATGGAATTTTAGAAACTAGGAATGTTTAACGTCTATGACGGTGTGATTTTCGACAAAAATTAAGCAGGGATTGCTAATTTGAAGGGAATAGCTCATATCAAATGAAATTTTCAAGACAGCAAGATGAGAGCCACGAAATATTGAAAGCTAATATAAACATTGAAGAGGATCTGCAATGCAGTCTCATAAGAGCAGCTGATTTTCCATTCATCATATGACCTTATTTCTCACACATCATTTATCAAAACTACAGTTCCTGAAAGCACACTCGAAGAAACAGTTCATTTTTGCCTTTAAATTGCACAAAGCTGAAGCTCCCCCAACTATGTCTATGAGGTTGCCGATGCAATAGTCCTCCACATGCGGAATTTGAAACAAGCCAGCATTTCATCACGCTTAGGAAGGTTCTCCTTAATCAGTGCTACTTCCCAAAAGTTCAGTCCAGGCATCAGCTCCCAGCAGTTCAACACCGGCTGCTTCTTCCATGAGATCAAGCCAACAAACTATCCATCCAAAGGTTATATATCAGTCAATCCAAACTTGTTACCCCCCAAAAATCCTATCCTCTTTACAAAGTGCGGCAACAAAAATATTCCATTGGACGACATCAAGTTTGCAATTGTTCACCACCATTTCATTCAATAATCTTCTAACCTCCTCCCACTGACTTGAATTACACCTAGCATGAGTCAAGATATTAGAACTGACAACAGTTGGTCGAACGCCTTTACCTCTCATTTCTGAGAAAAGCTTCAAAGCCTAGGTTACAGGCTTGTCCTTGCAAACGCTGTCGATGATGCTGTTGTATGTTAGAGTGTCAGATGCACCACCTCTTTCTCCCATAGCCCTTAGCAATTTAATAACCCGAGCAGACTTAAACAAAAAAAATACTTAAATAAATTATCATAACGAAATATGTTTTAAAAATTCAAGTCCGATATTATATTAAGAAAGTATTTAATTTTAAACATGATAAAATACTTTGATTATAAATTTGAATTATAAATTACTTATATTTGATATTATTTTAAAAAATCATTTATTATCGTATTATAAGCAATTAAATGAGGTTGATGTCCAAACAACCTCATAAAGCTACTTTACTTCCAGTACATAGCCCATTGATCAAAGTGTTGAATGTTACAAACAGTTGGTTGAAAACCCAGCTTCTTCATTTTTCCCGAAACCGAAAACCCTCGATCAACGGTCCACATAGCCAAGAGCTATATTTATGGTTACTTAGGCCTTTTTCCGGTTTTGTTAGCCTTAAATTCATCCATTTTATGGGGAAATTTCAAAATGGGCCGGTGGAACACAAATTATTCGAACAAACAACCATAATAAAATTTTTATAGAAGAGGAAATAAAATTTTAATATCTTTTATTAATTTTTAAAACCCTGAGCCGCCAATCAAGATTGATGAAGCAGCAACTGTCCTCGACATAATTGGTGTTGGATCCGACCAATCGAAATGTTTGGTATGTGAAAGCCCGGCCATCGTGTGTGTTGCGCCACCGCATCTTACCCACAACATCGACGGATTAAATTTTTTGACCCGCCTAATTTCACTTTTTTAATTGCGGAAGCCTCAGGCCGACCACCGGTGGTCGTCTTTTTCTCAAAAAATTGATACATTAAAAAGTAATTGAAAGATTTTCATTTCCCTATTAGTAATTATTCATTGTCATCGTAACATAAAATAAATATTTCTGATCCATTGGTTCATTTTGTCATTCCTCCCCCGTCCCCCATTCTATCACCAATTGCAGCAGAGTAAGAGGAAAAAGGAAAAGCAAGAAATCAGAACGAATTCAATAGCAACGCAAAAAAAAGGGTACAAAAAACTAGAAATTACGATTTTGTAGTTAGCCACTTGATCCAATGAAACAGGATCCTATGGCTTCTAAGAGGTTGCTGCTGATGCAATAATTTTTTCCCTGCGGAATTTGAAATAAGTCAACAATTTATCAGGGTCAGGAAGGTTGTCCTTGATCAGTGGCACTTGCTTGAAATTTTCAGTCCATGCCTGCAATCGAGGGAAGCTGTCAGCTTCCAGCAGTTTAACACCAGCTGCTTCTGCTAACACATCGAGCCAACAAGCTATCCATCCATAGGCTATATCAATCAATCCAAACCTGTCACCCCCAAAATATTTTTCTTTCCAAGCCCATGCTCTTCTATAATTTTCAGCAGTTCTTTAGCTTCTTTTGTTGCCTTCACTTGCTCTTCTCCAACAGTATGAAAGAATTTGTAAAATGTAGGGGCCTTCGAAATGGAAAACAAATTTAGATGATGGAAAAATGCTAAAAAAGACTGAAGACAAAACAAAGTATAGCCATAAAAATTTTCATGTTTTCTATTACCTTATCTTCTCCGAACTTGATCCAGAAGCGAGCCATGGTTCTTTCATAAGGGTCTGGTGGAAGCAAGGGGTTTTCAGGCCATATCTCCTCTATATATTCAAGAATAACAATGGATTCTGCTATTGGTTTTCCACCATGAACAAGCACTGGGATTTTCTTGTGAACTGGATTGTATCTAAGAAGCAACTCGCTCTTGTTGAAAAGATCCTCTTCCACATATTCGTACTTCACTCCCTTGTGTTTAAGAGCCCATAAAACCCTGTAACTAAATGGACTACCCCAAGTTCCTAGCAACTTCACTTCCTCCATTTTCGAGGACTTGAAGCTTACACAGTTATGCTATGCTATGCTCTGTTGTTTCCAAGCAGGCCCTTATAGGTCTGAATGGTTGCTTGCCCTCCACGTTCCAGCCGCAGCACTAAAGTCAAAAATTTTGTTTTTTATTTTGACATTCAAACCAACTGTGCTTAGTTGGCTAGTTGCTTTATGCTATTTTGTCTTGTTAAGAATATTGTTCTTTGTTTAATTTGATATTTGCAAGATAAATGGGCAACCATTTGCTCTTTTATTTAAATCTTTGCTGCATTCAGCAATTCTATCAAGAAAAGTTATTCAAAAACAATTAAAAAAATCAAAATCAAAATACAAAAAGAGGAAGAAGAAGCTGCATTAAGGAACAAATTAATCAAAGCACAAAACATAGAAGAAAACGTGGCATTTTGCTTCAAAAATAATAAATTACTAGGAATTAAGCAAGCATAAAGTAAATGAAACTAGTCTTCAAGTTGCTATCGATGCAAGAAACATCTCTCTTTTCTTTGTGTAATTTTCCAGCAATTTATCATGATCAGGAAGGTTGTTTTTTATCACTGGATAGGCCCTGAAATTCTGAACCCATGCATGTAAGCGAGGGAGGCTCTCAGCATCAAGTATTTTTACATCAACTATTTCTTCAATGACTCCCAAAGAGGCAGCAATCCAACCCATGGCCAAATCTACCATTCCAATTTCTTCACCACCAAAATATTTCTTCTCCCCAAGACCTTGTTCTTCAAAAATCGTTAGCAACTCCTTTGCTTCCTTGGCTGCCTTCTCGTGTTCCTCGCCAACGCCAATGAAGAATGACACGAATGGAGCAGCCTGCAATATAATATTGAATTGAAACGCATCAACTTGGCTAGGCTGTGCACTTTTGCTATATGTTAACTTAAAAGGCTATACAAAGATGGGTAATAGTAAATTACCTTATCCTTATTGTCCACGAAGTTGAGCCAGAACCGTGCCATGGCCCTTTCATAAGGATCCATTGGAAGCAAAGGATTCTGAGGCCATGTCTCCTCAATGTACTCAAGAATAACTGCCGATTCTGCAATTGATTTCCCATTATGAACAAGAACTGGGATCTTCTTATGAACTGGATTATACTTCAAGAGCATATCACTCTTGTTAAATAAATCTTCATCTATGTATTCATACTCGACACCCTTGAGTTCCAGAGCCCATTGAACCCTGAAACCATATGGACTAGGCCAAGACCCTAGAACTTTCACTTCTTCCATTTTCAGTTGAATTTTATATGTTTTGCTTCCATATCATGGCAAGTTCACCTATTTATAGACTTTCTTTTCTTCACTGTGGTCCAAGTTTTGGCTTGGAAATTTCTTTTCTTTGTAGAAGACCAGACTTTTCTTGGATACATGGGATTCCCTGATTTTTTGACTATTGGCAAGATGTATGTTTCCATGATATTTCGCTATGTATTATCATTCTATTGTTTTCCTTTCCAGTCTGAAAGGAAATTTTGTTATTTATGAGCCTCAGCCAACCAATTGTGAAAGACTTTTCAAATTTCTGCTGCAACTTCGGTCAAGCACGCAAGCTTCCAAGAAAATGGACTGGAATCCAGAAGTGAGATACTGTTAATTTTGTAAATGGGCCCATTCTGGTTTTGGTCCTGATCAAAATGGAGGGTCCAAATATTTTGTTTGGGGTTTCCAAAAACAAGACCCAAGAAGACAATGGGCAACTCACAAATGGTAAGCGTGGCAGTTTCTTGATCACATTTTCCCTAGGAAACGCCAATGCTACCTGTAACAAACGAAGTAACGAACCAAACCAACAGAATTCTCCAAGTTCTAGTAGCTGTCCGGTCATGGCTTCAATGGCACAATTTTGTTACATTCTTGGACCCTCAAACTTTAGACAAAAGTACAGTAGTTTCAGATCTTGCTTCCAAAATCCCATTTACAGAAAGAACGCACTCTCTTCTATCAATTTAACATTTCATGCAAAGCCACCATCAGTCTCTTCTTCCATTGTTTGTTCTGCTGCTAATAAGCCCTCTTCCTCCTCAGAAGTTAGGTAATGTTCTCAGTTCTCCCTCATTAATAGTAATTTTTTAATTTCTTCTGATTTTGTGCTCATATTTATGAGTTTTGTAGAGTCTTTTCAAAACCCACTAAGTGCATCTGGATTCACCATTGCAATGGAATGAACACACGGGTTCCTAATATTAATTTGTCATCGTTGTTGATATGCTTCTTGGCACATAAAGATAAATTCAATTTTGTGATTATTGCCCTTTTCTTCACTTTGAGAAAGTGCCTTTAAAATCTTAGTACATAAATACATCAAATAACACGATGGTTTTCTAGTTGCTTTTTGACTTGATTTCTTGTTATTGAATGCTTCTGATTATCAGGTTCTGCTTTGTAAGTGAGGCTTGTTAATAACGTTTTTTGTTCTCAGTTCTTCATCCAAGATAAGGAGTGAAGTTCTCTCTCCCTTTCGGTCTGTGCGGATGTTCTTTTACCTTGCATTCATCGCAAGTGGTGCCTTGGGAGGATTAATAGCCTTAACACAGTTAATTGCTGCCCTAAACAATCCTGCAAGATCATCTGAAGTCCCTGACATTTTAACAAGTCTTGGCATAGACATTGGAGCAGCATCTTTCTTTGCATTTCTGTATTTCAGGGAGAACACTGCTAAGAACGCACAACTAGCCAGACTCTCAAGAGAAGAAAGCCTTTCTAATCTTAAGCTTCGAGTGGATCAAAATAAGAACATTTCTGTAGGCAGTTTGAGAGGAATTGCTCGTATTGTAGTATGTGCTGGCCCTGCATCATTCATCATAGAGTCATTCAAATTTAGCGAGCCATTCACTGAGAGCCTTCTGGAAAGAGGGGTGCTGGTGGTTCCTTTCGCTACAGATGGGAATTCACCTAGTCTTGACTTTGATGACAGTGAAGACATGAAAGAGATCACTTCAAAAAGAAAGAGGCTTTGGCAGTTGACCCCAGTTTATGTTTCTGAGTGGACTGAGTAAGATTATGTTCGGAGCAAAGCAATGGTCATTTTATTTTGTAGTTCTCATGCTCTCACTCTCTCAACTGACGTATATTTGTTTAAACTTTAAATATAGGTGGTTGGATGAGCAAAAGAAATTGGCTGGTGTGTCCCCTGAATCTCCTGTGTAAGAGTTCCTACATCTTACTTACCATCTTCTCATTCAAAGATTCTATAATACAAATAGACATATGGTTTCTTTGACCTTGCAAATGAAATTCTTTTCATTTTTTACCTTATTTTTAACAGCATTTAGGAACCATTAGACACATATCTGTAGACAATCTTGAAAATGAGCAACTATAAACTCAACTAAGTAATGCAGAACAAATGCTTAGAAAATTGTGAATAGAAATCCCCCGTGTTAGTGAAACCTATTTATGTGGTGCTCATTGTAAAGTTATTTATCTCTGCGCTTGGATGGTCGTGTGCGTGGAAGTGGCGTTGGTTATCCTCCTTGGAATGCTTTTGTTGCTCAGTTGCCACCTGTAAAGGGACTATGGTCAGGTCTTCTTGATGGAATGGACGGAAGAGTTCTTTGAAGGAAGGTTAGTTTATATGCCTTCTATACGTTTCAAGTTTATAGCTATTCACATTTTCACTTCAAATCAGTTTGCTTACAATGACAGTTGCATTATATATTAATTTATTCTTTAATTAACATATATAGGGGTTGTTTCTATTTCTGTTCTCCCCATCTTTTCCCTTTTGATGTTTAATATGTACCACTTACCAGCTAGGGCTTGTATCACAATAATACATGTTATAATCGCGTGCTAGTAGGAGTATTTGGGTTTAGTTTCTTGTTGAGAAACGAAGTTTTGGTTTGACAAGGAGTGAGATGATGAAACGAGGATAAGGGAATATAGAAAAGGATATTATGAATTCTTCTTGCTAAAACAATGAACATTGTGCAGTATAGTCTGAATGTTATCATTTTTGCCTCCTTTAATTGCGGAGTTTTGTTGTAACAACACTGGTCTTCTGCCAGGATTGGTTTCCTTCTCCTAAAACCATACAAAACATAAAGAAACATGAAGGATTCATATATTTGATTGTGAAATTGTCTTGGTTATCCGAGAATGCAATATGTAGCTAATGAGAACCTTTCTAAAAGTTATATCTTTCTCTATAGTAAAAAAATGACAAAAAGCGATTTGCTTCAAGCTGAAATCAACTTTTGTTATATATTACTTTTTCAAAAGTATTTCACTACATGGTCTTTATAAGAGAATCAATAAAAACTCATTAATATGTTTGCTTATGGTCTTTTCTTATGTGCTTGCTCATGTAGTAACTGTAGTCTTTGGAATGTAGGAGTGATCACAATCTAAAGCTAAACGCGAACAGTCAACCAGCATCAAGTTGATTAACAATTTTGGCTTCTCTACTCTGCTACCAGATTTTTTTCTCTTACTTCTAGTTCTTTATTGCAGATCTTGCAGGGTTCTGCCCCACCTGTTATATGATAGTCTCCTTTCCATAGCAATGTTATTATCTACAGATCTGTTTTTTTTAATCCTTTCATCTATGATACCTCAATTTAGTAATTGCAATTTTCTTTTGTATGCAATCAGAATGAGAAACCTAGAGGAACTGAGTTATATTGCATATGGTAGCTTGTTGAGTGGTTGTAATAACATCATGTTCCCGGCAGCTGCTCTATTTTTACATTTGTATTCCGGTTGGATCCAAACTGCGTTTTGAACTGCAACAAAAACAGTATAATTTGCTATCATAATTGAGTTTCAGGATCACAAGAACCTTTTAGGCTTCATATATTGCTTTACAGGTTTCCGATCACAATTAAAAATTAACCAACCTCAATGGGATTTGGAACCCAAAGCCACTTTTGGAAAACATGTTAGTGTTAAACTAGCTCTAAATCTGCTTGTTTTCAGATCCTACATGATCGATCCGGGATCCTCAAGCAGCATTAGACAATATGAATGCGTTCCACTGTAAGGCAGTAGCTGGACCTGGAAGCATTTATTAAGCACGCAGATATGGGGTTGATGATTTTTTATTTGATGGCTGTTTATTTGTCCATTGCAGGGCGAGTGCACTCTGGAGCTCTAATGGGTTTCATTGCACATATGTGAAGATGTGTCATCCGAACTTTTCAAGGGGCATGGAGTTCCCTCGAAGCATGTGACAGTTAAACACCATTTTTATCGCTGATGGTTGAAACATAAGTAGGAAAAGAAGACAAGAAATGACAGAGAGAAGATGATAATCTTGTACATGTTTTTGGCACAAACAAGCTTAAGCTAGAGAGGAGAAGGCGATATGATAATGAAAAACAAAATTACAAATGCTACAGTAACTCATTTAACTTCTTCAATCTCATCCAATGCATAGTTGTTCGTAGATACATTGGCATAATTAACTTTGTTGAATCGAACCACAACTGGGTACCGTGTGTTGGGGTCCTGCAAAAAAGTGACCATCAGATTGAAAAAAGTCAGATCTTTTCTTCAAAGAAACTTGCACATGCCAGAGGGAGAAAAAGAGAGAGAGAGAGAGAGAGTGACCTGGTCAACTGCAACAACTGATCCAAAGCTGTTGTACCAGTAGGACTCCCTCCTAAGAATCTTGACCTATGAGGTGAAAAAACAATCGAAAGTTAGTTCAAACATACAATAATTCTTAGACTCTTTTCATTTCTTGTCCAAAAATGTAACTCAACAGAAGGCAGATTCCCTCTTTAATGATCAAGTTTAACATGGGTGGTTATGTATTACCCTTTTCAATCAAATTAAGACTAGCTCCTGCTTTGCTACATCATCTCTGCATATATATCAAACATGTTCAACAACTTTTCAATTAACTGCTAATTTAATTCTAATTAATATATGCACCATACAGCTGGCTAACATGTGATCTTAGTGCAACGTTTTTTCAGCTATCAGACAGATTATAAGATATGGGATTATGATTATTGATAATTCTATGGAGCGGTAGCTAACCTTGGCGCCTCTTTTTGGTCCAATTGGCGGTGGCTTAGGCTTAGGGGCCTTACCTCCTTCTGGTGGTGGGGTCGTGGTAGCTGGAGCTGGAGCTGGTGCTGCAGCCTCCTCAGCTGCCTTCACAACAAGCCTTGAATTGTTGTTGTTGTTCTTTGAAGGGAAAAACACCATGTTGCTCTTAGAAGCTGAGCTTGCATTCCCTGTGACATTGGGTGTTGGCAAAAACCCTGAAGCAGCCGATGCCATGCTGCAGCTAGCCATGTCTTCACTCTCTGATCTTTCTGTCTCTGTAAGACTGTAAGGGGGGGAAAGGAAGTGTGGCAGAATAGTTTAAGGAAAAGAAAGCAGAAAGATCGAGAGGCCTTGAATGGATTGGATTTTCTGGGTTTTTTTGGCTCATAGAATTATCTGATCTTCAGAAAGTGAACTGAATCGTTTCCTCCACTTGGGAGCTGCCACCTATGCACCATATCACATTTGTTTGGATAATGTGATTACAAGTCATCCTTTCACAAATCCAGCCCCTACTTACTGCCCAAACAAAACAAATAATTTCATGAGCATAGCCCCGAACAATTAATTTTAAGATTAATGTATGATCTATCTGCTTTTTTTTTTTTTTTCAAATGAAAAATAAAAAAATATATAACTTCTAAGTGAAGGGGCTAATTAGTAATTATGTCAGTTGCATGTAAGCGATGAAGGTAAAAAATAATTCTTTTGGAATATTTTTTATAAAATTATATTAAACATACAAATAAAATTTTATAATCTAAATTAATAATTTTTTATACGTATTATTTAAGATACCCGCGGCTTGAAAGCCTAAACAATGCGTTAGTTAGTACTTTGCTCTTCAGCCAACGAGCATGGCAGCTAAACTTTTATAGCGAATTATGGAGTTCCTTTCCTTTATGAATTTTGGTCATGTTACAGTAACCTTCAACTAAATTCAATCATTTTATTTAAATACATAATAAATATATGATAAAATAATTAATATTTTATTTTTCAATTAATTTTATATATCAAATATAATCTAAATATATAATATTAAACTAATAAAAAGACATAAAATATTAAAACAGCTACCTCCCTTGATTACACGGGCAGATAATAAATAGCGGCCCAAAACTTTACAGGTGCAACTCCCCATTCTCCCAAAATATCCCATAAAATGTAATTTGTCCATGCCAGGCTGCCATGCATGCCTCTGCCATTCTTAAATTGAACCTGGTATAGTTCAAATGATTCGCGTTTTTTTTTTTTTTGTTAAAGATAAATTTTTACAAGATTAAAGCTCGCTTTTTATTACTTATAATAATTTTTTATATTTTAGGTTTCGACTTTTTTTTTTTTAATCTTACAATTATAAAATCGAACCTTGCTACGCTAGTTGGTAATTACCGTTACATCACCAATGCCCCCTTAATTATATTATTATTGTAATTAATTAATTAGATGTAACCATAATTAAAGCAGAAAAGGACACCTGGCAAAGATAACCATTCCTTTGAAACTTGTGGTCCCACGTTCTGCCACGTCCCTCATTCTGAAGTTGCATCTGTCGAGCATTAAGCCTTCATTCACTTTGTTCACATTTCCTTAACGAACCTTCCCTCCTGTTTAAATCAATGCCACGTGAAACTTTTGGTGTTTGAAGGGACTATCCGTTGTTTGGTAGTTGTACTTTCAGCTTTAAACGCCCATTCTAGATTATACACAGTATAAATTTATCCATTCAAATAAAAAAAATTCTACTCAAATTTTCCTTAACATGTTATCTTTATTTATTGTTTGACGAAACTGAAGTCTTAAACTGTGCTCTTATAGCTCCTCGGCACTTACCCTTTGTAGAATCGTAAATTTTTTAATGCTACTAAACTATCTAATTATCAAAAATAAATAAGAAAATATTGCATTAAATGTGGCAAAAATAATTGTTACATCCTAACAATCGCATTATGAAAACTTATATATAATTTTACATATGATTTTAAAATAGACTTATCATTTTTTTTAAATAATCACTTTATCATTTATAAAATATAAAATTAAATTTGAAAGTACATTACATGCAAACTATTTTTTTTATTTCTTAACTTATTTTTTAAAATGTTTTACTGACTTATCACTCGAATGTTGTAACATGTTTTGAAATTTTAATTTTAAGTTTTTAATTTTTGTTTTTACAAATTCTATAGATTCATCAATCGAATCTCACGAAACCCAAAATGACCTCAACAGTAATAGTAAGAGTAGCATTATTTTACGATTTGAAAAGTTATATAACATGGGTTCCATTCGATCCCAAGTTCTAAAATTTCTCATTTTGCGTAGGTTGAAAAGTCTGAAGAAAAAATATATTATATAGGAAAACATTGTAGGGTCGAGCTCCTTTTCCGTGATAAATGGAGTTAAACTTACTTTAACTCTTTAATTATAGTGCATGGACGCTAATCACGTGTGATGTGATGTGATTAAGGAATATCACTTAATTACTTACCAACTATAAACAAGAATGCCATTAATATATGCCTTTTTCAATCTGTCCCTTTCTACTGTAGAAAATCTTTGATATTTCTTTGATCTTTGTCCTTAAAAGAATCATATATAATTTCAAGGCATCATCATCATCATCATCATCATCTGTTGCAGTTCCACCTTCATTTTGAGCTAATTACCAATGGCAAAAGGTAAATAAAATAGAAAGAAACGGTGAAGTCGTTTTCATTTGCATGTGCTTTTTTGATAGTTCTTTGACTAAAAAGAAGGCTTTGTTGGATATGACCCGTTCTGTATCTTTTGCTTGATTTTTTTTATATATGACCTTGGAATTCGATAACAACTACCAAAATCACAAGGTGAATGCTCCATTTGCCTCAGGATTTTTCTAGGCCCCATAGAAAAATATTGGTTATTTTGTATCTTTTTATAACTAATCAGAAGTCAAATCCCAAATCAAAACCAACGCAAATTTTGGAATCTGCTAGATTGCTAATGTTGTTTAAATATGTCATGTCTGTTTTTTTTTTTCTTTTATTTTAATTCAATAAACTTGTTAATGACAGTATAACTTATTAATAGAATATTAAAATTTTAATTTTAATGATTGAATTTTAATATTTTATCATTTCAAATAAAAAAAATAATTGAATGTAAAATCTTTAATGTTAGATGATGGTGTTTGGTTTAATTAATAATTATTGCTTTTAAAATGTACAAGTTGTCGAAGCTCTTTGATGAAAATAATAACTTGACTCTTTAATGAAAGACTCTTTCAATATTAGTAATTCACAAAAGCGTTATCTATGGTCCTAGGTATTTAAAGATGATTTATGAATCCAAGTCCACCTCTGGGGTTATTTTTTATTAAGTACATAATAATAGTATTTGTTTATCTTTTATTCTAAAATATATTTTAAAATATTAATATAAAAATTATTTTTTATATATTTTTAATAATTAAAGAGTGAGCATACTGATGGACTTAGGCTTAACTCTGAAAATGTTAGGCCCGATAAAATCTCATCAAAATCCAATTCATGTATACCTTAAGATTAACAATTGTAACAATTGGTATGATTTTATTAAAAAATGTAATACTGAAATTCACATAATAAGCTCAGCCCAATTCGAACACTTTATTAGAAGTATCTATTTTAAAGATGAAGCATGAAAAACAAAGTGATACCTCAAAATCAAATTAAAAAAAAAATGATCTTTCATTTTTTTTTTATAATTTTAAATATAAAAAATTGTTTCTCTCAAAAATTATCACGATTAACCAATTAACTGCATAATAAAACTAGTAGTTGAGCTATAATGGAACATCATTGGGAGAAAGGGGTTGAATTAATAAGGTTGTGTTGTGTGTTGACAATGTGCTATGAGAGGGTGAATTGAAGCAGCCAGGCAGGCAGGCATCATACAATCACGTCTTCTGTTCTCCAGCTTCAACATTGAGCACACAATCTTGTTATTGTGTGGACATGGTAGTTGGCGTAGGCCCTTTTTGTCCTCCCCAACTGCCAAAATATCCTCGTGTTAACAAGCACGATTGAATCGTTCATGGCCTCTTTAATTATAATGGGCGAAATTTGCAAAATTGCAAAGTCAATTCACCAATGCTACAATTTACCCAAGTTTATTTTACAAATTTATTGTTATTAGTACTTATATTTAAATTAAAAATAATTACTTAAATTATCTGAAATAAATTTCTGATAAAAACATTATTCTTTTGATCAAATTTTCATATTTGTATCAAACACCAAAATGGAAAAAAAAAAAAACTAAAAGGATTTAAAAATTGTCACTTGGCAATAAATTAAAGCTTAGATGAAACATTTCCCCAGTAAAATTTCCACTGTCAAAGCCGCGATTTGTTGAGAATTGACAAAAAGGCCTTTGAACGAACCATCCCATATCCCAACTATCCAAAAAGCTTGAGCCAAAATGAAAGGAAAAAAAAAAAAAGCTAATGCTTAGCTCTGAACTGATCAAGTAATCAAATTAATAATTCATACTTTCATTAAAAATTTCATACAAAATCAAATTCTATTTGCTAGATAATCTAGTTGTTATATAGCGTCTTAACCATTTTTACTTAGCCATTCTCGAGACAGAGGAAAAAAGTTTGGGAGTCTAATGTTTTGTAAATATATTAATGATTATTGATATTATATATGACGAAAATAATTCCTCATGATGGGTAGGTATGGATTAGTGATTGGAGCATAAACTAAAATATTGATTATAATTTTGAAATTTAATTTAAATAATTTATTTTTAAGATATGATATTTAGTAAAATTGATATTTTAAATTTTAAAATTTATAATCTCTTTTTATATATCATAATTATCACTTTTTTATAAATTTTTTTTTTTGTCTCCATCCATTTAACTTAATCATTTCCAAAAATGAAAAATAAAAAATACAAAATCATGCATAAAAATAAACAAATAAATGGACCGACTTTAAATAAATGAACATTTTCTATTGGTTCTCAATTCTTCAATCCTTCTCCCTCTAAAACAAACCATTTAAGTGCAATCATTGGAGTATTTGTCATTCATAGGAAACTCTCTCAAACTTTTATTTGAATTCATTCATAATTAGAAAGATAGGAAGAGAAATTAATGTGTTTCAAGTTTCAACTATTGGTTGTCCCTCCCCTAAAAAAAAAGTGGTATGGGTCTAATAAAAGCGAAAAATTATATTCTTATTAATTCAATTAACCTCCTTTGACTATAAATTATTTATTATATTTTTACAAATAGTCTAATTATTAAATTAACCTATAATTTTATCCAAAAAATCAATCATATAATACTTTAATATCATTTCTCTATTACATATTAAGAGTTTTTATTTTTATCATTTTGATATTTTAGGCTTTTAAAAATTAAATTTTAATCCTTAAAATAAAAAATTTAGTATTTTATTAACGCACCACGTCATGGTTAGCCATATTAATTGTTTGTTTTCTTTTTTGGCCAAACCATACTAATAATCATGTTGACAGAGTCTTAACATTTTGGTACACATTATTAGTCCTATAAAAACCTCAAAATTATTACCAGGAAATATGTTTAGGAAAAAAAAAAAAAAAAGGGAAACAATAAAGGGCAGAGGTGACGGATCGCCTAATCGTCTAGCCAGTCAAACCAAAAACCAGAGAAAGTAGGGGCTAAATCTAAAATAAAGCAGAGACAGAGGACGTAAATGAAAAATCGTGAAAAATCATTATCCTCATCATTGTTAACTTTTTGGGACTTAAAAGGAGCAATATTTTTAACTCATTTACTCCCACGCCCCCACGCTCTGACTCACTCACCCCTGGTTTTCGCTTCTCTCTCTCTCCTCTGTAATTGAAACACAAGTGAATCAGAATTAAATAAGCTGTTTCGAGTCCGACACCCATAGTTGGTGGAGCGAGGCTTTTTTTCCCATTTCCGTGACCAAAAAGCGAAAGAGTTAAAGCCCAAAAGCCATACTCCGAATCCTGTCTCTCTCTTCACTCGCAAAGTTTCCTTTCAGACACACATTTTACTGAAACAGCGCTGCTAATCGCCACCGTTCTTGCCGGATTCCGGCTAATTTCCGGCCACATTTCACGTGATGTCAGATTCTGATCACCAGGTCTCTCTTTCTCTCTCTCTCTCTCCTCTATATATATATATATATATATATCTATCTATCTATCTATCTAAACTTAATCTCTGCTTCTTACTCGTAAGGAAAACGGCAAAGTTCCATTGGCATGTCAGTTTTAGGGACAGCTAAAGAGCACTTTTCAGTTTCACTGTTTTCTGGTGTTCTTCGTCCGATCTCTCTTTTTTTCGATTTTTTTATTATTTTTAAGGAAATGTAACTGCAAAAGGAAATTAAATTCTCTGTTTATAGATTTGCTTTTCTTTCACTCTGCAATAGTTTCAGCTTTTTTGAAGCTTTTTTTTTTTTATTTTAATTAGATTCTTTCTTTTTGATTCGACATATTCTATTTTTTGAATGTCAAAGTTCGTTCTCTTTACTTAATTTATAATAATAATAATTTTATTTTTTGATTAAATTTTTCTCATTTTCCAATGAATACATTTGATTTCTTACTGTGATCATTGTCAAACTGGGATAAAAGTTATATTTTTAATAATAAAGAACACTTTGCAGTCTTTTTTCAGAAGTTATAGCGACGTTTGATGTGATATAACATGCGTGAAAAATAGAATATTTTCTGGTTTTTTTCACTCTGCAAGAATATTGTACATGTCCTTTTTACATTCTCTCATATTCATCATATCCCTTCAAAATCAAGTTCCCTTCTTCTTCTTTTCTTCTTTGCTTTTCAAGACTCCCTGTCTTTTTTTTTTGGGAGGGGAGGGGAGGGGAGGGGGTGTTTAAATTGGTTTCCAGGTATGGAATTTGGACATGGTATTTGATTGGTAAAGAAAATAGCATGTTTGACTTGTAGGAGTGTTGTACTTTAAGTTGGTTGGGACTTGGGATTATAGTATTCCTGCAATTTCATCATTTTTGAGTCATCATCGTTGTTATTATTATGGTTTGGATTTATAGTTTCCTTTGATGTTTATTCTGTTAAATGCACTCTCATTTAACTGATTTGTAGCTTGAATTTGACAATTTCCATTTTCCTTCAGTCCATTTTAGTTTTCTTTTTGTATTTTAAGGAGAAAAACGTTGGAAGTTAATTTGTTACTTTTGATTCATGTGGTTAACAGGTGTTGAAATGAACAGGATTCAGCAAAAGAAAGGTCAAACTATTGAGAAATTTCCAGGATGCCTGGGGAGGATGGTAAACCTGTTTGATTTGAACACAGGCATTCATGGAAACCGCCTGCTTACTGATAAACCGCTTCGTGATGGTGATTTCCTTTCTATGAAGCTATTTTTTTTTTTTTGTTTGTTTTGCTTTTGAAGTTTGAACATTTTGTTTTCTGGGTAGTGAGATTATAGCATGGTTCCATGATCAGCATTTGTTTCAGTATTCCTTTTTTTTTTTTTTTTTCATTCAATTCTATGCATTTTGCAGTTCTCTTTGTCCCTTGTTAATTGAAGCAATTTCAGAACTCTATAAAATGTCATTGGTGAAAGTTAACTGCTTCATATACCTTTATATTTTCTTACAATGTTTTGAAAGTTTTTAAAATGGTCTAGGATTATGGAATTTTATTCTGATTCTGGAGGTCAGTTGTTCGAGTTCATGTTGATTGCCTTAAGGACTGATGCTTGCCTTTTCTTCGCCTTTCCATGTTTCTGGTGTTAGCTCACTGAAAGTTTTAAGTCGTACAGTTTTTTTCCCAAAAAATCACTTTGATATTCAATTGTATATATGACTCCTGTGTTGCTTATTGGTATTTTTGGTTGTTTATGCTTCGATTATATATTTATCCCGCCATTTTGACATGGTGCTGATTGATGGGCAGGTTTCTCAGTCTCAAGGAGTCAATCTGACGCTGTAAGTATGTTGAGCCCCACCTTTGGAGATCAGATAGAGGATAAAATGGTAAATTGGGTGTTTAGTCTCTGCAATGTAATTATTATAAACAAATTGGAAACAGATTCTGTGCACAACTTGTCTCTTTATCTTCCACTTGAATTATAATATTAAATATCCTTGTGTCCCGACCTGATTTATATTTTTTGGTGTTTGCAGATTGTGTCTGAGTTAAGGAGAACTTTGTCAAACAAGAAAGGTAATGGAACACCCATGAAGAAGCTCATAGCCCAGGAAATGTCAAAGGATGTGGAGTCTAAACATAACGCACCCAATGTGGTTGCTAAGCTGATGGGACTCGATGCACTACCAAGGCAGCAGCATAGTTTAGCTGCACAAAGGTGCCATTCTAAATATTCTTCTCGGCATTCTTTGAGTCATTCTGAGATACCAGTGGAAGTGGAAAGCTGGGAGCGAGATCAAGGCTTTTCAGACAAGCAAGTGCAATGTGAAGTAAATCCCTATCATGAGCTGAGCAAATACAAAGATGTTTACGAAATCTGGCAGCAGTCCCCAAGGACAACTTATTCAAGGGAGAGCTCTCCACAAAAAGGGAGGTATAATGATACTGTGAATCAGAAAAAAATGGCTCTAGTTCGTCGGAAGTTTATGGAAGCAAAACATCTGGTGACAAATGAAAAGCTTCGCCAGACCAAGGAATTTCAAGATGCACTGGAAGTTTTGAGTTCCAATAAAGAGTTATTCCTCAAGTTTCTGGAAGAGCCAAATTCGACGTTCTCTCAGCATCTTTATAATTTCCAGTCTTTATCTCTACCTCCTGTGACGAAGCGTATAACTGTTCTTAGACCTTCTAAGATGGTTGACAAAGAAAAGTTTGCTGGAATAGTGAAGAAGGGTGATAAACAGATGAAGACACCAGTGCAAATAGGTCAAGTGACTGGGTGGGATAGAAATAACACTGCATGTTCTTTCCCCAGTCTGAAAGTTGATGAATATCCTTCCCAACCAACTAGAATAGTGGTGTTGAAGCCCAGCCCTGGGAAGACTGAGGACATTAAGACTGTGGCATCTCTATCTTCCTCCTCTCCTAGGATTTTACATGGTGAAGATTTTTATGAGGAACCTGGAGAGGATGATGTACGAGAATCAAGAGAAGTGGCAAAGGAAATCACTAGGCAGATGCGTGAAAATCTGATGGGTCACAGATGGTATGATAATTCATTTAATAGATCTGAAAATGGGTGTGCTGTGGAAAACCTCAGTGATTCAGAAGTCATGTCACCAACTTCTAGACATTCATGTGATTACATCAATAGGTTTGGCAGCCCTTATTCTTCCCCCTCCTTCAGTCGTGCATCATGTTCTCCTGAGTCCTCAGTTTGCAGGGAAGCTAAGAAGCGGCTTTCAGAAAGATGGGCCATGATGGCATCAAATGGGAGTTCTCAAGAGCAAAGACATGTCAGGAGAAGCTCAAGCACATTGGGTGAGATGCTTGCTCTTTCTGATACAAAGAAGTTGGTGAGATCTGAAGAAGAGGGAAGTAATAAGGAACAAGAACCTAGGGGATCCACTTCCTGCATAGCTAGTAATTTGAATAAAGAAGAAAGTATAAGTGATTCTCCCAAGAATCTTCTGAGGTCAAAATCTGTGCCTGTATCTTCCACTGTGTATGGTGCAAGGCTTAATGTTGAAGTTTCAGATCCTGAAGCTAGCAAAGAACAAGTTACCAAGGAATTGACAAAGGCAAAGAGCATGAAATCATCTTTTAAGGGGAAGGTTTCAAGTTTATTTTTCTCGAAGAATAAGAAAATGAATAAAGAAAAATCTAGTGGATCTCAATCTACAGATGAATCTCCATCTTCAACTCCTGGAACACCAGGTTCATCCATGATTCATCTTCGAAATATTAGCAATGATGCATCTCAGTGCGATAATAACAATTGCATCCAAGAGTGTTCGTCTCCTGTTCTAGATGGATCAACAAGTAAAACCCCTTTACCAGATTTGACTGGCATGGGACAGAAACAAGGCATGATCACTGTGGAGGTAGTTCAAACTTCCCTAGTTTCTTGGCCATTCATATGTTTATTGAATGTTCACATCTTTTTTTGTATACATTTGTACGTACATGCATATCAACCTGCTCAAGTTTTTCTGTATTGCTATTAGATTTTATTGATATCATGGTCAAGATGGGAAGTGGCATACATACATTTGTTGCCTCCCATTTGTTTAATCTAGGAAAGAGGAAAGTAGCACATGAACTGCAAATGCTCTTTCCTCATTGTCTGATGTTGTGAATGCTGCATGTGAATTGGTATAATATAATTCCGCTAATAGGGTTAGAATATATTTTGCTAATATAATGGAAGGGCACCATGAGTTGTGTAAAATGTATAATTCCTCTAATAGGGTTAGAATACATTTGGCCCATACAATGGGTTTAGGGTGGCGATGTAGCAATTCTAAGCTATTTAAATTGTGAAGTAATGTCTTCATCTGCTTGATTAAAAAAGAAAAGTCTTCATCTTTAAGATTGAGAGAACTAGTTGTGGGTTGATCTCATATTTAACTGTGTCATTGTTTTCCATTCATTAATTGTTCTTGGTTATGACAAATATCAATCATACTCTTAGTCAACTTTGGAGGTCAGCACCCAATTTTATGAGCTGATAGCAGCCATGAAATGCAGACATGAAATGCAGATTCTTTGAATTGAACGTGTTATCAGATATTTTGTCATCTAAATTTGTGTGACTTAAATCATTTATTAATACTGTTCTTACCTTTTGTAGGGAGGGTTGTCTGTAGCAAAACCTTCAATGCCTGTCCGTATAAGTGAAAATCAGGACCAGCCAAGCCCTATCTCAGTTTTAGAACCTCCGTTTGAGGAGGATGAGAACACAATTCCGGAGTCCTCTGGCAGTATCAAACCAGTGCAAGGAGGTAAACTTCACTTATTAAACTGGGAAATTTGTTTTTTGTCTATTTGTTTTTTTCTTTTATCCTTATATATTGTCCCTTATATTAGTACAGGACTGGGGGTGCCACCTAGGTCTAACTTGATTGACAAGTCACCACCTATAGAATCAATTGCTCGCACCCTCTCATGGGATGATTCTTGTTCAGAGACAGCTACATTCTATCCATCACAACTCTCTTCGGTTTCTCCAGGTGCCAAGGAAGAAGAACAGGATTGGGTTTCCTCTGTCCAATCATTATTATCAGCTGCTGGTCTCAATGGGGAGGTGCGGTTTGAGTCATTTATTGCCAGATGGCATTCGCCTGAAAGCCCATTAGACCCATGCTTGAGAGACAAATATTCCAACTTGAATGGCAAGGAGCCTCTGCATGAGGCTAAGCGACGACAATGGAGATCAAACAGGAAGCTGGTCTTCGACTGTGTCAATGCAGCATTACTAGAAATCACGGGTTATGGGTCAGACAGTTGCATGAGAGCTATGTCATTTGGCAGGGCCCAGAAGAGAGTCATGAAGGGTGCATCACCCATGCTGGTTGACCATGTGTGGGCCCAAATGAAGGAATGGTTTTCCGGTGAGGTGAAATGTTTCGTGGGTGATGATGGGGACAGCAACAACCTGGACGTAGAAAGGGTAGTGCAGAAAGAAGTTGTGGGTAAAGGGTGGGTTGATCATATGAAATTGGAAACAGATTATTATGGAAGAGAGATAGAAGGGAAGTTGCTAGAAGAGCTTGTGGAAGAGGCAGTGATCGATATGACTGGTAGGTTGTTTTGAGGCTTTTTTTTTTTGTTTTTGTTCTCCTCCCCTTCCTCTATTGAGTGTAACTTTATTATTTGTGAATTTGTGCATTTGATTTTGAAGAATGATGTGATGATACTACCCAGCTTATATGTTAATGCTGCACGAATGTTTATATATATGTTACTAATATTAATATGATAAGTTGTTTAAAGATTTTCATTTTATGATATTTCCACTACCCGACAGTGCCTCCATCCTCAACATCCTCCCTCAGTCCCCCTGGTATTGTATAATTGACCATTTCATTCAGGCCCCTCATCCCCCGTCTTCTTATTTTAATTTTAGTTGCATCGATGAGAAAATTGATCTATTGATTGATGCCTATCAAGCTATTACTATTTTTTTGGTGTATCTTCCCCATGTTACCAGATTGATACTTTTTTTTCTCAATGCGGGAAAGCCAGCCTGTTTGTTCTTGCAAAAGGACAAGAGAACCTGAGGTGGAATGCTGACCCACACGGACACAGGCCACAACTGCCGAAGCTGAGACTAAGGGTAACCCACGGAAGTGGGGATTAAATGAAATTTTCTAGTTGTTTTACTGTACAGTCTCAAACATTCTCTAGTTTTTCAAAAAACAATATGATAACCATCTATCGGCTTAATTTGATTTTAAATGTTTCTGGATCTTAAATTTGTTGATTAGAAATTAGATGAGAATGTGACTATAGAATATGGATGGTAAAAATCAGTTTCTTTTGATCGATCGATGTCCATTGTTGAGCTGGCAGCCATGAATTTGAGAGGTGGGGGATGTTCAACTGCTTCAACTGAGAGTATGATCCAATGCAAGGACAAACAAACTTGTAATTGAGAGGGTAAATCCTAAATTCCCAAGCCATCGTCTATGAAGTTTTGATACTATAATATAACATTTTTCCACTATTCTTGTCTTCATCTTTGAGACATGGGTTAGCGTCTGGTTGCTCTTTTTGGTCCTAGCCCTTTATTCACATGCTGTTCTGAAGAATCTATCTTTTCCTCTGTTGGTGTAAAGCAGCTGTTTCATCTACTAGTCAAAATTAATACTACTATTTTCAATTATTATCAAGAATGAAAATAGTTCAAAGACAGTAAGCTAAAACGAGAAAGAACAAAACTGGATTCAAGATGGGCATTTCATCCTTGGTACAGGATCTGCTACGGAAAAAATTTTGGTTGTAAACTGGCAAATTCCTTTTGCTTACGCTGCTGCTGCTATAGCTACACGTTCCTATTGCCTGTCTTGTTAGATTGTTGTAATCAGCCATTGTAATAAGTAGACAATTTGATTGGATGATAATCCTAGTTGATGATTAATGCTTTGAATTTTTATTTTTTGAGTGATTATTAATTGGGCAATGTTCAAATTCTACCAGTGTCTTAACTACTTTTTCAGATACCATCAGAATATTTCTTGTATTTTATGCTTCTTGTGTCACTCTCATTCTCATCTATATGTGAAGGTGAAAGCTGATTTTTTTTTCTTTTTTCCCTCTTGTTTTTTTAATAACCGTAAATCTTTAAAAAAATCCCATGGAATTAGATGAAACATTCGTGTCTTCACAAACATTTCCTAATCCATCTTTTTGCACATGGAATGCCCATGCTAGAAAACAAATTGAGTCAAGCATTAGTGTCTTCCAATATTCTTTGAAAGCTCAATGAACCCTGTGATAGTTGACAAGCTTTCCAATCCAACACCAAATTGATTTGGAGAAAATGCAATTAGGGAAGGAGAAAATAAGATTAAATGCAAAGAAGAAAAAAAAAAGGCTAGTTATAACAAAGCAAGTATTTGTCTGGTTGGAACACATCTATCTATAGTGGTTAGAACCATTTATTATATGAGAGGATAGAATGAGAGGTGGATTTCTAGTTGTACATAAAAAGTATATTATGGGTTTTTCTTAAATTATAAAGAGAAAAAAATTGAACCTCAAGCAATCCTAAATATTTTAGATGTTGTTGTTCAAGCCTCGACTATTTATGCATGCCACCCGCGTTTATAACAGTGACTACTACTTCTGCTAGATGTCTGATACAGCATTCATTAATGCAATGGTGACTTGATAGATTGGATGCTCCCTTCTGAATCAAAACTAAAGGATGAAAATGAACCAAGTACTCCAGTTTTGTGGTTTGTGTTATCACAATTGTCCGTCTCAAAAATGAAAATTTTGGAGCCTAAGAATCAGTACAAATTCTGAAGTGCACTGCTTAATCCTTTGAAATGGTTAAAATAGCATGTAATATTTTATGTGATGATCCCATGAGGAGCAGCTGCTACAAGGTAAAACGAGAATGCTTATTCATCTCTCAAACTATTGTCTCAAGAATAATTTAAAATCATATTGTATCAAAGTATGCTCTCCTATTGTTATAATTCAAAATCATATTATACCCTAAAGGTGGCAATCATATGATCATATATTAGTGAAAAACAAAACTAGGTGGGTAAAAAAGGTGGAAAATGCCTAAGATTGCATAATCAGCTAACAGAGTATAAATAAATAAATAAATTCAAAGTGACAGTGTAAATATTAACCTATAAATTAGAGCGGCACTCAAAAGAAATCTCGTGACGTGGCCAACAATTGTGTGATAATTAATAAAATACTGCTTTTTAATTTTAATTATTAGAATCAAATTTTAATAACTTTAAATATAAAATAACTCTCATGACTTGAAATCAATCGTATGTTATATGACTTAAATAATCTAAAAGAACATTCATGCTGAGATCCGAACAAGAGACAATTGAATTCATGAAGGGGACTTGGATTTTTAATTTCCCTAACCATGTGCTCTGCTTCTGCTTACAACCACTGTATGCAAATTGGGTTCAATGTATATAGTACAAAAAACATTTGATAACTACGCTTATAAATAAATTAATAAAAGTCTTTTTTAAACCATCTCAGTTAACTTTATTTCTGGCTTAGATCAACAAACAAAGGATTAAACAAATTTCCAGCATTTCTTATTACAACTAGGAAACAATAAAAACCTTTGCCATAGGGATTTTCCAAGGACTGAGCAAACGGGATATTGCTGTAAGGCAGAAACATGCAGATGCACAATACATAGCTAAGCTCATCTCATGAGATTTTTTCCGAAACTTCATGTGTAATTTCCTATTACTACCAACCAAAACCAGTTAGTTTGGTTAGATAAATTTCTAACTGGCAAATTGATGTTGTGAAAAGTTGTGACCTTGAACTCCATAAAGAAATACCTGCACAAATTGCTTAAGGGCAAGGAAGCAACTGGTCAAGTATAACAAGAGGACAAGAAGGGCCTGAACATCATCAATACTAGCACAGATATGTACTATCATGCATTTCTGGATGGTCCTCTCGAGTATTTAAAAGAATAGTTTTATTTATTTTTCCAAAAAAAAAAGAACTCCTTTTATTCTGGCATGGACCCAGAGATTAAGCTTGTAATAATCTATCTACATCCAGGATATATAGCTTGGAACAATAGGGTTGATGAAAAGAAGGTAAAAGAAAATGAAGGGGCTTAAATCAACTGCATAGGTTTAGAAAAAGTACATTCACTCGGACAAAACATACTAATGACGATGAGAAAACAGTATTAGACCAAACAACAAACTTCTCATTTTATACAGAGTGTTAGTATCACCACATTCAATTAGGTAAAATTACAGAGCAATACAGCAAACATGAGTTTGAAGAACCATATACATCAAACTTCCTTAACAAAAGCAAAACATAAAAGGACTAGAGTGCAATGATATGAACTTGATCAGTTTGAAATACAGATGATATTGATGCCTGTGAGATTGATCGATCAATCGTTCTCTCTGGTCATTGTTCTACTTGGACTTCATACTTGCAGATGCGTTCTGGTTTAGTAAATTGTATTTATCAGCACTGTTATATCTATCACCACTGTTCAGTCCGTACTGCAATACAAAATTCAATCACATGATTTAGGAAACAACAACTAATATTATATGGAAGTAATTGCGTATGGATAGATACAAGTGGAAATATAACTCAGCGTGAATGAAAGAATATTTTAAAATGCTCAGTAGATGTCCTTTACGGTCTTAGCAATTAAGAGTATACTGATTCTTGACAAAACCAAGCTACAATTACTTACATCAATTAAGATTTGTTCAACAACAAAAACAGCAGTGATGAATATCAGAAAAACTGCTTTGCCATCTGAATCACCTTTTTGCATTACAGTTGTTGCTCGTCAACCAGAAGAAAATTAGTCAAACTCAAACTCTAAAAGATTAATTAAACAGGATAACTGCCAGGGATCACAACATCCCCCAAAAAAAAAATCAAAAGGGAGGATAAAATATAAAGGGAAAGGGAATCATTGATAACTGTCACAACTGAACTAAAGACAGTATCATATACAAATATCAATGATAATAAAACAAAAGCTTGAAAGGCAGCAAAATAAAATTATTTAGTCGATCAGTCATTGTGAGTCAGGATCTCTCAATCAGGTCAACATTGTTGAAGAATAAATGAAAGATAATCATATTGACAGCTGTGAACTGCATTCATATTTAATTGTTTATTTGTGAGTCAGATTTCAGACTGTGAGGTTGGGTCAAATGGCAGTGAGTTGGATCAGATTAGACAGATATCTTCAATAGATTCCATACCACCAGACTAATCACAAAGCAAATAGTAAGAGCCACTAGACTGAAAATTCTATTTTAACGACGCATTTGCACACATGCAATTATCATTTAAGTCTAATGCTGCATATGATCAGTCACTTGGAGGTCAATGTTGTGGAGTGAATCTGAAAGAAAATAACATATTTGGAAGCAAATCTCAAAGATTTCAAATGCACACTTACGAACTGCATGCATATTCAACAATTAGCATTTGCTACTAAGATTCCAGATTAAGAGCTGGTTTAAATGGCAGTGAGTTGGATCATTAATTTGTCACACTATCACTAAATACTTCAATAGATTCCCATATCCATTGACATAGTATGGCAGTAATGAGATCCAACGTGCTATAGATACAACTTCAAGGAAACATTTCCACAGGCAGTGGGCATCATTCACTAGAAAATTAGATGTTGCATAGTGGATTTCACATCATATAGAATAAACTAATAAAACAAAGAGTGAACGGTACCATATAACTAGAATGCCAGCAATCTTTTTCCGCTAAAGATGAGTTATAAGCAATTGAATTCAGGATACCTTTTCTCTTATTCGTGAGGCCCAGATGTCAGAGTGAGTTCCCCTGCCATCACCCTTGACTGAAGTAGATGAGTGGCTAGACTGAGGGTTTAGGAGTGGCTCCCAAGTTCTATCTCTGCTACTTTCAAAATCATCTTCATTGGCCACGTTTCTTTTTCTAGCAGAAATCATTGCCCGCAAAATAATTGCCACTAGCAAAGCTAATGCCTGAAATGTTGCAGGAATAAGTCTATTAGGTTAGAGAAATCAGCAGATTTACTGGATGTTCGAAAAAAGAAAAGAAAGATCTTATCTTTTATTTCCTAACCAAAAACAAGATTCTTTTCATCTAGCCATTGAATTTAATTACCTTATATGGGTGCATATATATATACATACATACATACATATATAACTAAAAATCTTACCATGTATTTTCAGTTCCTAACAGTTTGATTCATCTCAAACAGACGAAGAGATTTATCTCAAGTGGACTTCTCCCAATCTAAAGTTCAAACAGAATTCGGTCTATGAAAATGATTAAGGCTCTTCTTAACATCTATCCTTCTCCCCTTATAAAGTTTACAATTCATCCCCAAAATGTGGCCATGCAAGACTTCACAATTAGTCATAGATGGGATAGCACAATATTGCTCTCTTAAGACATTTACAGGTAAATTTTGAGATATTGATCCATCAGCGAATATCTCTATCTTGCCCCACAAGGCACATAGTTATGGAGCAAGCAACACTTATCTTCAAACAGAATATCATGTTTTCAAGACCAGAAAAAGCTGATTGCCTTGTAAATGTGAGGTTAGGATGTTTCTTAAGTCTATCTCAATTAGCATAAATAATAGAATTCTGAAGACTTGCACAATCATCTGGAGTTTCCATTGGATAGAACTACTTGATAAGGTTAGTTTCATCATGATACTGCAGATAGAGGCTACATCATTTTGGCTTCAACCACAAAGAGTTTTGAACAGTCTTTTGCCAAACATAAAATAGATAAGAACCTGAACATGCCTGTCTGCTTTTCTGTTTATCTTTTGAAGCCATACTAGATCCCTCTAGCAATTTAGGCTTTAATGAATGACCCTAGAAAACCATAAAATCCCAAATCTCTTTTCCAACCAGATGTTCCCATCTTCCCCTTTCAACTGTCCAAATATGTCAGAACTTTCCAAGTCTCTTAGTTCTTTTCCACCAAAATGTTCCAGCACCCTGATATATATATATATATATATATATATATTTGCTACATCCCTGATTTTTTTATTTCAGCTTATGTCTGGTCATTTAGCATATATGCATCAACTTTCATTGCTTCAAGAAACCTAGTTCCCTTTCCACACAGCTACAAACTCTATATCTTTAATTTGACCCCGCCTACCAACCCAGGTAGACTGGTTCTCTTAACCTTCCGTACATCACACAGAAGTACATAATATGCCACAGAGAATTTCAAATATATATATAAAGGCTGACTTGATTTACCTGCACCTACTCTAAATCCCGAAACAGTCCAGATTATAAAGCGATAACTTGCACAAAGGATCGGAAACAATTATTAAAGCACCAAATACTTATAACGTCAACCATATGCAATGCAATACCTATTATTGTTCATCCTTACCCATAACTCGGAAACCAAATCTGTTGTTATTTTCCTATGTCTATTGGCAACACCAATTTTATGCATATATTATAAACTTATAATCTCTCTTCTAATAAACTATCACAAACTATATGCACTGATGCACAGGCAAACCTATCTTTTTTTTTTCTATGGTCTAAGATGGAATAATATATTAACAGAAATAAGAAGCTATGCATTTCAGGAGTGCCCAAAGAATTCCTTTCTTCATAATTCAAAATTCTTGTAAATAAAATGCAAAAATAAATGCCTACGAATTAAGATGGATCCTTATATTTTTAATGAAAGTTCTATGTTTTTTGTCAATTTTAACAAGCAAATATTAAAGAAAAAATGAATTATAATTACAAAAACAACAAAGTTAGTATATTGTAAGCTACAATCAAGTTGTTGTTGAGTAAAGGTGGTATCTGCTTATCATCCTATATATCATCAACTGTAACTTTATCACCTCAACAAGGAAAATAGACCAAGAATTTCATGTGTCAAATAATTAATTTGCCATCGGACTAGTAATATGCTGCAAAGATGTTATCATAACTCTTTAATATCCATAATTTTAGCTTACTTAATCTGTCCCACCAATATTTGGTAAGATTTAAACCAAATACTTATATAAACCCCAGCCCCCACCAGTTCAACAGACTATTGGCAATATAGCACAAGGCTAACTAAATTAAAATATTAATTTGTTTTCTAAGACATACATCGATGATCCACCCATCCATCCAATCGCTGGTTGAGCATAAGCCTAAGGGATAACATAATCAATCCACAGTTCAGTGCTGGCATTAAAAAGTGCAATGGTGAAATCCAAATTGAATACTTTTTCACATTAGAGTAACTGCAAAACATGGTCAGAAGATCATTGCATATTACCCTTATGATTAAATTCATAAATCCATATGACCATAAGTTGAACTTCAGTAGATCTTCATTTGACGAAGTGCCAAATGTCACAAAGTATGAGATCATTTACTTACTGCTTTTTTGTTTTGATTTTTGTGCATAATAATTGCAATCAATTAATTTACTAAGTTATAAAATGCTGGAAAACATGGGTTAAAATATACTTGAATTATGACCACACTGATGCCAACCCATTTACATATATCAATGTTGACTTCAACAAAGGATCGAAGGCTATTGAGTTCTCCAGTTGGGTCAAATGGAAGATCCTGTCATAAAATACAGTATTTAGTAATAGATGATAATCTGCCCAAGATCAAAGCCATAGCATCTCTTGACAAACAGAATGCACCCAGAAAAAGAATATACCTTCTCCCAGCTCCGGTCAATTGCAATAAATGCCACCAAAGCAGCTTCTATTAAAATGAGAACACTTTTGAGAAGTGTATACTGGCAGTTTGATCAAGTTAAGGAAAAACATGTAATAGAATGCAATCCATTGGATAATTGGCAGGACAGAAATAACTTCAAAACTTTAAAGCTTGTGATAGAGCTTATAAATCACTGAGTACTTAGTTTTAAAGAGATACTTAACAGTGAAAATGTAGAAGAAGAAATTCTCAATTTTGTGCTTAAAGTTCTGATCCTATTTTAGCACTTCATCTTCTCCTGCTACCACCACTTCTTGGTAGACAAAGCATATGTATAGTTAATTAAGCTAAAACTTCAATATATAGGAACCACTGTCTGAAATTTGCAATTTTCATTAAAAACTTAAGTTAAAACTTCAATAAATAGGAAGCCGTTGTCTGAAATTTGCAATTTTCATTAAAAACTTAAGCTGGTCTCTATTGCAGAGATGTTCAGAATCACTGCAGCTAAACCATTAAGCCAACTTCATTTGAAAAGAATATATAAAGAACCATCTAGGTAGGATACGAAACAAAGACAGCAGCCATTAATAGATTCAGCTGCTATGCAACCAATGAAAGTAATGCAACCTAGCACAATACCCACTCCCATAAAAGAGTAGATGAACCTGCAACAAAGAAAAGCATCAATTTAACTCTCATGTGAGCATTTCCAATCCAAACATTCAACCACAATCACCAACAAGAGGAAAAGTTGAACTGCCAATCATATGAAATAACGAATTGAAAGAGACAACCAAATAGCAGTGAATAAATAGAACATCCATGCGATAGTCACAAAAAACTTTACTCTTTTATAGTTGTTTAAAAAAAAAAATCTTCCCAGTACTCATCAAATTATTTACTAAATATTAAGACTTAAAAGTAAGAAACAAAAGACAAAACTAGTATTGAGTTAGCAATTCTAGCACATGGCATGATTTTGTTGCATAATTTAACGAACTTCACTTAAGCAACTCTATCAAAGTATTTCCCCAATATTATACAATAAAAAAAAATCTAAGTACAACTCATTAGAAAACATGATCAAAGTTTTAATAGATCTTAACGTGATCTTATTTTCTATTACTATAACCGGTCCTATCCAAACCCCTTCCCAAACATTTAAACCACTGTCCCTTTTTTTTTTCTAGTTTGATATAGCATAGCATTTAATGTTATGTCCCGCTGTCCGCTTCAAAATCCCTTAAACAAAATCAATTATAACACACTAAAAAAAGACTAAATAGGGTAACTACCAGGGAGCAGGTAGCTTAACGGAGCTCAAGTCTAACCCGACCCCATTATCCAACCCGGAGACCCAACCGACAGCGAAATCATCAAAAACCCTAGCTGCTTGAGCTCCAACCTCCGGTCTCGAGAAGAGGATCGAAAGAGAAGACTCCGGCGAAGGAGCTAAAGGCGGCGGAGAAATGGGGACGTAATGCTTCCACCGATCCAACATCCATATCGAATACAGTATGATCCATACTCCAATGAAAGCTTGGAGAAAATTCAAGAACTTCAGAACAAAAGCAAAGGAAGCATGGCAGCAATTCGGCTGCATTCCCTAAGATTTCAAATCGTTTTTATTTCTTTTTTCTTTTGAAAAAAAAAAAAACCCTAATTGTGATGATGACTTTGTGAGAGAAGTCATCGAAGCTGCGTTTATGAACTTAACGAATTTGGCGTTTTGCTCTTAAAAGTTTTATGTCTTTTTCTGCTTTTCGTTTTCTGTTTTTTTTCCAATTATTATTACATTATTTTTGCGTGCGAGACAGTGAGCTCGAGTTTGAGAAGTCAAAAGTGAGAACAGAAACGGTTGCTCTTAATGGTTAGTTGTTTGGATATGTTGGGCTTTGAACTGGGCTCCAGGTTCAGCTGATATACGGCCCATTAGGCCAATTTCATTTGTAAAAGTCCAGATAAATGAGCGTGGAGGTAGTCAAAAGATATCTGTTATGAGTGATTTCCCTTTAAAAAAAAAAAAAAAGGACTTGTAACTTTATTTTGAAATGCAAACAAACCTTACCTTAGCTCTGCATGAAATTAAAATTATAAATTTTTATTTTGTTATAATTATATTCATTAAATTTTAAAATTGAATGAATAATATTCAATTGATAAAATTTTTAAAATTATATTTTCTTAAATATTTGTCATTTAATTTATTCGAATGAATTTAAGTAAATTTATCTACAAATTAAATCATTCAATTTAAAATTTTGAAAATTTACGCCATCAATGACCTAATTACAGTAAAATAACTATTCATAATCTTAATTTCATATAATATAAAATTGAGAGTTTATTTACATTACAAAATAAAATTTAAAAGCTTAAACAGCAGAATAAATTTTACAATGCAAACAGACCTTAAGAATGCATACATGAGTTCTTATCAGTTATTGGCATCTAAAGCTTCTTCCACTAACAAAGCTGTAATGTCATTAAACCTTAAAGAGCAGAAGAAATTTTACAATGCAAACCTTTGATCAAGTCAAGGTATCCTGTGTTTGAGGTATGATGGAATCACTAATCGTAAGAATATAGAACACAGGCGAATGGCGATTGATCAGCTGCAATTTCTTCCAACATTATGCTTCTTGTCATCTTAACAAAAATGCAGTTAAATGAAGCAAGCTTCATATTTAAAGTCTTCAATAGAATACTGAATTGAATAGTGAGATTTTCAGAAGTCAAATGTATTGATATGATCATCTTAAAGATAGTACACCTCATCAACTATGAACTACCAATGTTTTATATTGAGGCTCTTGAAATACGAATTTATTGACAAAACAGAAGGTAGGGACAGTTCAGTCTGATATTTTAATAACTGTATAGCATTAGTTTTTAACTCATTCTAATAGAACGTCTTGCCAACAGCTAGTCTGCTATGAATACTTGGTTGAAAATAGCTAGTCAAACCCTTGAAAAAAAGGTTAGGAGCTGCAGTTAATGTTGAATTGAATGATGAAGAAATCAAAATGCGTACTATTTTTCTCATTTAATGTTGAATTGAATGGTGAAGAAATCAAAATGTGTACTTTGTTTTCTCATTTAATCTGTTACTTTTTTTTTTGTTGAAAGAATATGAGAAATATCTTATGCTTTCAGGCTAATTCTTTTTGCTGATAAGTTTAAGGATCTATTTTCTCACATTATTTGATGCATTCAAGATTTTATTCTCGAAATGCTCTCACACAAAAATTAAACCCTGGTTCATAAGGAAGGGGTTTTTTCTTTACCAACTGGATTAACCCTTGTAGGTTGGACAAAAATATTCTCAGTCTTTTACGTTGTTTGGATTAATAGGTAATTTCTCACTCTATTGTGATAGGAAGAAAAACATGTTATTACCCTGGCATCCAATTGTTGGATGCAACTTTTTCACATGAATATTTGTCTGCTTTATGAAAAAGGCTATCAGTTTTGTCTTGCTACATCCAATAATGAGTTTCTGTTTTTGATTTTGTACAGTACACTTTTTATCATCCAACAATTATGAGAAGATAAATGATTCTTCTAACAACATGTTTTGATACAATGTCAAGTTCTTGGTTTGTTGTTACTGCTATAATTGTTCCCCTGGTAGCCTTGATGGTTACAGTCTCACCTCAAGCTGGGGCTCGTGCTTTTTTTGTTTTTGGTGACTTTCTTATTGACAGTGGCAATGACTTTGTTAACAACTACTTCTTGGTACCTTTCTCAGCAAGATCACGCCAATCTTCTCTCCCAGATTACTGCCGCTTTCTCAGTTTGAATACCGGAAAATCCTCCTGGTAGATAATTGATAATTAATTCTCCTGCATCTTTTTTTAATCTCTCCAGCTTTTCTTAATTAAAAGGGACCTTCTCTGTGTAAAAACAGCCTAATCAAATCAGCCCTTGTCAATTTGTTCGATTGACTTTGACGTTTGAACACTACATCAACATGTTCCAAATTCTGAATAGTTTTTTTTCCTGTTAACATGTGATAATCTGATATAATTACAGAGGTTATACGAATTAGGAGGCTGCAGGGTCCTGGTGACAGGGACAGGACCATTAGACTGTGTCTCGCCTGAGTTAGCCATGAGGAGCAGGAACGGGGAATGTGTGCCAGAGGTCCAACAAGCTGCGGCCATATTCAATCCACTCCTTGTCCAGTTAATTCAACAGCTCAACTCTCTGCTAGGCTCCGATGTTTTCATTTCTGCTAATGCTTTTTCAGTGAACATGGACTTCATCAGCAACCCTCAAAGATTTGGTTTGTTCTGCAAACTATCTCTTATAAAATCAACCAATTAAGAAATACTAAATCCCGAGGAATCAATGGTCGTAATAAAAGTATATGTGCAATAACGTGTTTGCAGGTGAGTTTGCAGGTTTTGTTACATCAAAGGTAGCATGTTGTGGGCAATGACCCTACAATGGATTAGGATTATGCACCAGATTGTCAAATTTGTGCCCCAACCGCAACGTCTACGACTCTACGCCTTCTGGGACGGCTTCCACCCGAGTGTGAGAGCAAACCGATTGATAGTTCAGCAGTTCATGATAGGATCAACTGAGTACATTAATCCAATGAACCTCAGCACCATCATGGCCATGGATTCGAGGACCTGATAAATGTTTTTCTCCTTTATTTTCTCCAAACCCAACACAATTTATTTTTGTGTGTTTGCCAGCTATGTAATTGCAAGGTTGACTACGCTACCTATTTGATATTTCTCTGTGTTTTGCTAACAAGTTTTTTGACGATATATATTAAGCTATTTCCATCATTTTCCATTTTTTCTTCAAACTTGAAAATATATACATCAAACATTACAATTTCAGACAATATATAAAATCATATAAAAAATAAAGTAACGTAATTTAAAATTGATAAAAATTAAAAAAATATGTTTTTAACTAATTGTGCTACCATATAAAAAATAATAAAAGTAACATAATTTAAAATTAATATAAATTACCTATAAATTTGACAAAAAAAAATATTTTTGACAAATTATCATACGATAAATTTTATATATACTAGAAAATTTATCCAGGCTCACTTTTTTATTTTAAAATAATATAAATTATTTGTATTTATTTATTATTTATGTATAAAAATAATTTAAAAAAATTGTTGATTACAACATTTTCTAAATTTTCATTTTAAAAGTTTTTTTAATTAAATATCTTATACTATTTTAATTTAAAACAATTTGATATGTTTTAGGAGGTTTAAAAAAAAAAACTCATATTTTCCTTTTTTTTTTCTTTTTTTTAGAGATTTTACTTTTTTATTTTTTTATGTTTTTCTTCTTAAAAAAAAATTTAAAAAAAAGGTTAAAGGTCCCATTCAATTACACTTTTACTTAACCTAAAACAGTATTTGAAAGACTGTTTTTATGTATACAAAATATTATTTTGCTCCTTAACTAAATTAAAAAAATTGCGAAAGTATAATTGTTTGACAAATGTTAAGCAATAAGCCCCCAATTAAAACAAATGAATAGTAAAAATTAAAAAGCCACTTTTAATATTAGTATATAGTAATAGATGTACGTATTTATATGTATGTATATATAATTTTTTAATTGATTAATAATATTATATATTTTATTTTTTTAATAAAAATATTTATCAAGAAATATTTATATTAATTTTTTTGTATTTTTTCATAACATTTTTCTTTTTTTAATAAAAAAACCTTTATAAAAAATAAAATAATATTCTCCTACGGGCTAATTAAATTAGGAATATAGTAATAAATGTATGCATTTATATATGTTTAATTGATTATTAATATTTTACAATTTTTTTGTCATTTTTTATAAAAATATTTAAGGAGAAATATTTTTATTAAAAAATTGTAATTTTTTTCATAACATTTTTTTAAATAAAAATTTATAAAAATAGAATAGAAGGCTTGTAAGAAAACTAATAGTTTGAAACTTGAGGGTATGCTATTAGATATATGTAAAAAAAAAAAAATTGTTATATATAGTTATAGATTTAATTATATATAGATAATTACCTATAATACCTAGATAAATTTTTTTTTGATATTGCCACTTTTTATACAAAACTACCAAAAATTTATACACGTATTTAATATTATAATTTTATACCAAATTTAACCCTTACATTATATTTGAAGACAAATATTTACTGTCCATAAATTGGATTTTAAATTTTCGAGGATGGCTTTTTGGTTTATATTAGGCAGAAAAATTAGGGTTACTGTATAGGGAGAGATAAAATAAAAGGCTTTCGCCCCAGGTCGACGACGCCGTCGAATCGAACAGAGCTCTGGTCTCAATGTTTTGAAAAAGCAGCAAAATATTTCTCTTTGGTTTGATTGCTCCAGAACCAGAACCAAAACAGGCAAAATTTTCAAACCCATTCCGAAACTTTCTGGTAACTGCTAAACCATAACCCTTTTTTTTTTTTTCACTTTTTGTCCTTGGGTCCTTGAAGCTTCAACACTTTTTTTTTTCCTTCAAAAATTCGTCAATGATGATTCCAGTTATGGTCTAAACCAATTAATCTTAACATCCAGTTTTTGGGTTTTAAAGCAACTCAAATTTCGTGCTTAGGGCATTTTTTTTCTTCTTTAAATTCCCCGTTTCGTTTTTATTAATGTATTGTTCGTTCGTTTTCCATGTATAAGAGTGGCGAATGGTGAACGTTCCCTCTTTGGTGTCTCTGAGCATCGACGCAGTGAAAAGAGAACTTCTTCACAGTAAATTTGCTTTCTTTGTTTTTTCCCTTTTCAATACTTGTAGTGAATAATGATTGCATTGTACGAGAAATGCCAAGTTGCCAAGAGATAATGTTTTCCAGTTCATATTTGTTAAATTGAATAATGTGTTGTGTTGGTTGCAGAGGATGATCTTTTATCGCACGTCTATGAGCTTCCTCCGGAGTTGTTCAATTCCTTAGTAAAATGCCTACCTCCTTTGGCCCTGCAGAAGTTGCAAAGTGAAATGTTAGTTAAATTTATGTGTACCGCATTTATGTTTTCGAGTTGGTTTTCAAATTTATAGCTGTTGTAGCTGAATGATTCTGGATATCTGTATATTGCTCCTGCTAAGGTTCACAAATCTTTAAGCCTTTGAGGTGAAGAAAATGTGAAAATTCTTTTCTTTTTTTTTCTTAAAATGGAAATTTTGGTAAATAGATTGAGACACGTCTTTCTAGGTTAACTAACCTTGAATCTTCTAACAAATGAGAATGATTGTGAAAAATTTTACATAAGATGGTTATTACATTTAAAAATAAAATCTCTTTTCAATGCTTGTTTAACTTTTGCTAACTTGCTGCTATATTTTGGGCTGTTTAATTATTCTTGCAATGGTATTAACTCTCTTTGAGCAGGCCGTTTAAGAACTATGATGACTATGATTCTACTAGCAATGACTTAAAAAATGGAAGGAAACGTGGAAGGTAAGTTAGATTCAATCACTCTACATCCCCTTCGTGTTTGATGTAGACATTAATGGTAGAATTGTGAGATGACTGTATAATGCTATTTTCTTACAGAAATGGAAATTTCGAAACAGCATGGAAGGCATTGTTTAAGCTACGTTGGCCCGATCTTGTGAAGCATGTCCAATCAGTTGATTGGCAGCAGATTTATTGGGAAACACATGTGCAAAAGTATGTTGATTCAATTATGCAAGCTAATTACTTCTTACTTATTGGCCTACTCATGATTTGTCTTCATGATCTATCCTTTTTTTCATTAAACTGAAATACAGTTGCCTAGATGAAGCAGCAGAGCTAGCTTTGCTCCCATCATTTAGTGGATGCCTCGGTGAGATACAGATTTCAGGTACTTTGATACTTAGCCTTTGCAATCTATGTGATTTTGAAAGTTTTGGGTGAAATTCTATGGATTAGAATACACATTTCTGCCTCTTGGTACTCTTTACGTACACGTTGGCATTTAATATATCTCTTTATGGTAAATCAAATGATTTTTGCCATTTTATGGTAGATATTAGCCTATTTGCTTTGCTTGCTAGTCACCCACCAAATGGAGAATCAATAATGAACAATTAAGTTGTATAAAGAGCAATAAATTTTGTTTGTAATGATGTTTGCATGGATGCCTCCTGCTCATGCATTGAGGGGCAAAGTTCTTGTGGTTAATGACACTGCCATGCAAATCTATGGTGAAAAGTTTTCAACTATATTGCACATCTCAACTTATCATTACTGTTACAAATTCTTAAAATTAGCTTCATCCATGAGCTCCCCCTCCCTCCTTCAAATTCGTCTTTTTTACTCCTCCGTTATGACTTTTTAATGCATTTTAAATGTAGAGCAAGTGAAGAAATTTCTTTCTTTTTTTTTTAAAACATGATTTGAGTTTGCATTTTGTTTATATGCTTCCTTTACCTTTTGAATTGTCTTACCAACACTGTTAAAGATTGTTGTTCCTCTTATCTCTTTTTTTTTTGTGCAGAGAATATAATGAAATATATTGGTTATGTGGATCATATGAGTAATTCAGGATCAGATTACTTGAAATTGTCTTACCACTGCCAGCAATTTGGATGTTATGCTAGGTAACCTCTAATGACACATCTGTATATTGGTATAGCACATGCCCATGTTCCTTAATTGGCAAGGGATTGCAGTTAAATTATATATATGAGTTGAACTGTTTTTCCTTCATGATATTGATCTTTCTTTTCCCCTCAGCACGTCCTGATTTACTAATAAATATGTTTCACGCTACATTTTGTTCCTCTTTAATTTCTCTAGTAATTAAGCATTCATACAAACTATTTTATTGATAATTATGTAGTTTTTTAGATTACCTAAGAAAATGCATCCTTATTTTGCTTCAATTGCATTTTATCTAATATTTTGGCTTGTGCAAATTTTTAGGTTCTTATATATTTTATTTGTGCAGATGTTTGAGACTTCAAAATGTGCTCTGTGTTGCAGAATCTTGCGTAAGTTTGAAATTTTATAAAGTTGTTCTCTCTCTCTCTCTCTCCTTATTTTGATAAGTGAAGAATGTAGCTGGTTTTCTTTCTCTTTGATCAAATTTTGTGTGGTTGGCTCTTCCATATACTTATGAAAGGTGTATAGTTTCTTACAGAATCACAGTTTAATAAACATTCAACAAGCTGGCAACATTGAATTTTTTTGTCATAGGGAATGTTTTATAATAAATAATCATATTAGGTCATAGTAACCATATAATCTCTCTGTAATAAGTGTTTGTATGCAACAATATGTGTGTCTGAAAGAGAAAAGAGAGTTGGAGTGAGTATGTTTTCATATCTTGAAGGTTTTTCTCTTTTTTGTCTTCCTCTAGCTATCATTTCTTTTCTTTCAATATACTTATGATTCATAGCATATTAAGTACGTCTATGGAGAATCTGTACACCAACTTAATGTCTGCTAGCTGATGACATTTTGTTGCAGCAACTTTTAAGGAACTCCAAGTTGCAAAGCTTGCTGGTACGGTGGATCAGATCCGTGGAACATGTAAGCTTAATACTTTTTGTGCATGCTCGTTAGTAAATAGTTGGGAATTAAGTTCTTGAATAACACATTAGTCCTTTCTTTCTAAGCTTAATGGCATGGCGACATTATCCATGAAAAGTAAATTAGCAATAATTTGGATGGTTGCTTTAATTTGGATGGTTGCTTTAATCTGGATTTGTCGGGCTGTATAAATGACCATTTTAGGGTCCATAGGGATCTATTGAGGACTGGTCATAAGTATGACAAAAAAGAAAAATAAGAAAAGATTTATGTTTAACCTCTAGAGTCAGGGTTGCTTCACCCAACTCATAAGAATGTATTACAGCTGCTGAAATTATTGTAAATTGTTCCTCGAAGTTACCTGCTTATTTGTATAGCGCTAGCAATTCTATTCCTTGGAATTAGGATGACTCATCTAAAATATTGACTTAGAAATATGGACTTAAAACAACTGCAATATCATAATTTAAATCCTAAGAACATAGAGAAACCTAAAACAAGAAACTTAAAACCAGAAAAACAGAAAACAAGCTAAAATCAACAACTTTCTATCCTTATTAAAGGACAACTTTTATTAGTATCTATTCTAGCTTAGCTAAAGTCCTACATGAGTCCAATATTCAAATAAACACCATAATTGCAAATCTTCTTGGAATGGACCTGAGTCATGACATCAAATGTTGTGGCATGAATACTTTTGAAGTCAATTATCATTTTTCTAGGAAGAGTGTCATTTAGGGAAATGTAATAACCTCCAAGACTTACGGTTCAATGTGTCATGCAGTCTGATTTAATTGTACTGCACCAGGGTAATTCTTCATTGGCCTGAAGTGCTCTTTCCCACTTATCTTTTCCTCTTAATTGCTTTTCTCTCATCCCATAGTTTAAAATTTTTATTCATTTAATAATCCTGAAATGTTATGGCAGGTATAGAAAATTGGAAAATATAAGAATTTTCTAGAAATCAGTATACTTATAATTAAAAGCTTCCTTTCTTTTTCTGATTTTAACTGTTTTTACTTCCTACTTTTGCAGGCTGATGGATTGTGCAAACTTCTCAGTCAGAATTGTAGAACATTAACATCACTTGAATTTGTACACTGCAAGCTTTCTTCCAGCTTTATGGATGCAATTTGTGGGTCCCTGTACTTGAGAGGTGTAGAAACTCACCAAATACAGCACTTCTCCATTAGCACTTCAAGCTTTCTTGAAATGGATCCAGTTTCCTTAGCTCATAGACTTGCATCATTTCTAAATTCAGGAAGGTACATCTGCTTTCATTTTAAGCTTCACTCTTGGTGAATTTTGGGTATATATATTTCGGTGATTGCTTGAGGTGTTTGACAATCACATTCTTCAATTTGCATGATAAACATTGAAATGGATATCTTAAACGGAGGGTTTTCTCCTCAAAATGCCATTACATTAACCTTCCATGCCTGGCTTCTCATGGTACTTACATTAATATCGAGAATACTAGTGAAGGAATTTGGTAATCTTTGACCACCCATTGCATCTGCTGATGTAACATGTGGAATCTGTCACTCAAGGAAAATAAATTTTATTTTTATTTGGTCAATATGTGACTTATTTGTCCTGTAATGAAAATGGCCAAATTTTATGGTCTATAATTATTCTCTAAAAATGGAAAGTAAAGATGGAAGTTTGCAAATGATTTCTTTGTTAAGGACTTGAGTACAAGTTTCTGCTATAAAACGTCTAACATGCATATGTTGAAATATTGCAAGTTTTTGCATTGATTTAGGGACAGTAAAGAATCCATATAATGTTAGTAAGTTTTCTTAGTTTATTTAGAAGTGTAAATCTCTGGAAAGTTGGGTACAGCTTTCTTTATCCAGCAATTAATCCTGTTGCTTACTTATGCATGCATATGATTCGTTTTGTTTTTAGGTCCTTGCGTTCATTAAAGCTATGTGACAACCATCTGGATTGGAATTTTGCCCAAAGGGTTTTCAGTACTCTACTGGATGCTTCGTCTGGTCTATCAAGCCTTGACCTTTCCGAAAACAATGTTGAATGATGCACTTCCATTGAAATTTTCTTTCAACATTTAACAAAATATCTATTGTTAGCCAGCATAAATATTTAATCCCTAATCTCACAGATAGCAGGATGGCTTTCTAATTTCAACTGGAGATCAAGTGCCCTTCTGTCACCTTCAGGAATGACCAAATCTTTGCAGTCATTACGCATCCTCAATCTACGGTATGTCATTATTCATGCGTGTTACTCATGCAAATTATTGTTCCTTAACTCATGACTGCTGGTACTAAATTAACCAGCGATCATAATATTGTTCATCACCATTTCACAAGGGCTTTGAGCATATTACTGCTGGGCAGTGTCAGCTTTTACTTTGCAGGGTTGTAGGAACCCACTGCAAGCCTGAAAATGTATTTTCTGCAACATAAAAGGAAATTTGTTTTTAGGGGTAATAATCTAAGGAAAGATGATGCTGGTAGTCTAAGATATGCCCTGGTTCATATGCCAAGCTTGGAGATTTTGGATCTTAGTGACAACCAAATTGAAGATGACGGCATTAGGTCAGCCAAGTATATATCTCGAGATGTTTTGTTATAAACCTTACATATGCTATCTCACAACCTGCATTGAAATTCTGCAGAAGTTTAATCCCTTATTTCACCGAAGCATCTAGAAAGTGCTGTCCCTTGACTGATTTGAATCTGGAGAATTGTGAGCTTTCCAGTGATGGGGTGACCCAACTTTTGGATGTCCTATCAACCTTAGAAATGCCATTGAATTCTCTCTCTGTTGCTGATAATCGCCTTGGCAGGTTTGTCTGGATGATGCCAGCATAGAAGTAACCCTTTACCATCTATGTTTCTTACTTGAAAAGGATTGAGCTTATATTGATGTAATTCAGCCAAGTAGCAGAAGCTTTAGGAAATTTTTGGGGTACATCTATCCAAATACTGAATCTCGAAGCTATTGGACTAGGTCCATCTGGCTTTCAGAAACTAAAAGATGTAGGAATGGAGAACTTGATGCTTGTTGAAATTAACATAAGGTTTGAATCTATGCTTCAGTTCTTTTTCATTTTTTCAAATACTTCCTGAATAATAAAGTAGTTACCTTGTTTTTGTGTTATGTAGTAAAAATCGTGGTGGGATTGAAACTGCAAAATTTTTGTCAAAGCTTATAAGTCGGGCTCCTAAACTTGTTGCAGTCAATGCAGCATATAATCTTATGCCTGTAGAATCCTTGACCTTAATATGCTCTGCACTGAAGACTTCAACAGGTATTCTTTGTAAGATCATGTTTAAAATTTTATATATATAGTTTAGCATCTTAGTTTCATCAGTTGCCCTTCTGATGCCAGCATTACTAGATATTGACAGCACGTTGGAAATATCATTTTATCTTCAATTTGAATGCATATCTCACTTTTTTTCTTGCATAAGCAACAGCTTTTACTGCCCTTACATGTGCACACTTACCACATTTGCAGGTTGCAACTATGCATGTTAGATCTCAGATTTTAGACAATGCAGAAAATAGCATCCATTGGAGCTTGAAATACAGAAAGTTAAAAAGATATTTATATATTTCCTAATGGCATCCAATCTTCTACACATTATCTGAATGGAAGAGTTGGTGATTTTTATATTGCAAATGAAGAATAGATCTGTTATTGTGTAGGTCATCTAGAGCAAGTGGACTTGACGGGAAATATTTGGGACCATCAACCCTCTCATGATGCCATGCTTGCTGAATTTCATCATAATGGAAGGCCTATTTTGATTCTTCGGTCATCAGCAGTCTTGGATGTACCTTATGATGATGATCCCTAGCTGACATTAATGGCTGCATCTTTATGTTCTATTGTCTGTTGCAGCCACTGATTTTACTTTATCAGTGCAACAAAAGTTTTAGAAATGTCAAACTTATGGACTTCTGTCTTTGTTCAATGTTGTGCGTGCTTAGGTCTTTCACATACGAGTAGCAGGTGGATGGGCTGGCCTGATATTGGTCATAGAATGTTTTTCACTATTAAATGCTTTTTCGCTGCAGGTTTAGTGATTCAACCAGTTTTTAGCTAGTTATGAATGATGTTTCCTACTGTCCTAGTTAGTTTGGTTGGTTTTGAATTTTTGCAAGACATTACAAATGAGTACCAATTATGCATTTCCAAGTTTCTGAAGGGTTCAATTCCCCTACTTGTTCAGAAACTTTAAATGCCAATAATTCTAACGTATTCTTTATGGCACATTATATTTATCAGAAAGAGAGTTTTAACTTATTTGGTTACGTTATCATTATGAAATTCCTTGTTTTTTTACAGAATTAATCACAACTTGTTTTTACTGACCAGTCCGTGCATCCGATGGAAATCTGATGATGGCTGCCATTGTTGCATCCTACGCTGAAAGCAATAGAATTGAATTGATGAAAGAAGAAAGGATCAATTCCACTATTTAGCAGGATGGGCTGTTGATTTTTAAACGTGTTTAGGTCAGTAAGACACGAAGCCACGAGTAGAAGAGGCACAAAAAGTCTAGCTATTATGGTGCTTAAGTAATTATACGTGCTCTTATTTTCTTGGTAGGGCAGCCTCATCCTCTTTTATGATATTCGATTCGGATCACTTTTAATTGAATTATATTATTTTATTTTCATTAATTATATTGAATATGTTAGTTTTGAAAATTAATTGATTAAATTAAATAAAATGTAATCGGTTTTATTAAATTTTTAGGTTATTTTTAAATTAAATTATATTTCAAGTTTGTAATTTTTTATATTTGTAATAAATTAAATAAAATTATTGAATAAAATATTAAAATATTAAATTAAAAATTCTAACAATTTCTATAATAGAATGATTTTATTTTATGTAATTTAATTTTTATTAAATTTTAGTTAAAATATCAGTTAATTTGGTTTTTAAATTGAATTAACTGACAATTGAAACTTTTTAAAAATAATTTTTTATATTTGATCAAAAATAATTCAACAATTAACCAATTAATCATGTTAAATTAGTTTGATAGATTAATTTAATTAAAATGGAAATTTGAACACCTAATTGATAGTATTGCCTTTATACAGTATAAAAGATAACTGAAGGAACAAACTTATCGGTGCTGTGGATTAAAATGGTCCATCCTCTTTTACTTTCCAGCATTCAAGTTAAGACCTGCTTTCCCCTTTTGCACGACTGACCCCAATGTTTGGAAATTGGAGTATGGTGATAAATATTAAAAAAAAAAAAAGGTGATGGAGACATCCCATCTTTGATGGGCAGCAGAACAACGGTGTGGTGGATTGCCAGTGCTAACGTCCCAACCAAGAATGTTAATTTCATGCACTATTTTTTCTCAATTGCTACTTTCAAATCATTTCATCCATACATTTTACATAATAATAATACTCGATCTTATTTGTTCTTTGATCAGTTTTTCTTTTTTTTTGTCGGAAAATTTTACGTACAAAAAGCGAATAGATTTAAATATTTGTTTTACTCCTTAAATTTAACTTCGTATAATCAAGAAAGCAAGCGAACCGCATTAAGAATCTGTTCATAATTGTTCAATTAGAGCATATAATTGGCGGCTAGGGTACCCTAGTGCCTAGTAAACTTATTAATGAGTCAATCCAACGTACCCCACACCAAGGTGAGCCAACCCGCAAAGGGCTTTAACTTTTAGCAATTAAATAACAAATCAGCGACACTCACTTCATTAATATGTAAAATATTAGGGGTGGATCCGAAACATGATAAGATGAAAATAGAAGTAGAGAACAAAAAAAGAAATAATCATTTTCTTGAGTTATGTCCAAAAGGGGTTGTTGGGTTAGCTTCGTCAAGAAGTTAGGCTTTTCTTGTTTTTGTTTTTTGCCTATCAAATCAACGCATGGTTTGAAACTAATCCCTTTCTAAAACCCCTTTAACTATGATTAGTATGATGAATCAAATGACCTGTGAACAAACAATTTGTTATTAATTTCTGGTAAAACTTGTTATTCGGGTGTTCAATTTCAAAAGCTATTCCTCATACTTATCTTGTAGGGTTAACTTTAAATTATGATTTGTTTTTATTTCTCGTTGAATAATTAAATTTTAATTATTAAAAATACAAATTTAACACTCTATCGATTGATAATATAATTATTGACACAATATATTATATTATAAATTAAAAGAAAAAAAAAAACTAACTAACCCAACAAAATATCATAAAAATATAAAATTGAGGTCCAATTATAATCTTGCATACTTAACTTGATAAAGTCATTAGTTTAGGTTTATCCAAAACAAAGGTCATAAGCTTAATTAAGATTTTAGTTTTAAATTTATATTATCTTTATTGTTGATTAGGTGAGTTTGAAAACACCATAATCGAATGATAGGTCATGTAGTGCTTTCAAGTGAAGCAAAAGAATATTTTAGCATTTTCCAAAGGATTGGATTATATGAACATATTAGCAAAATATCATCTCATTTGCATTTCTTTTAAGCGGTGAAACATAAATTTGGATATTATTTACTTAATTAATAAACTTCCAAGCTAAAATAAATGAAGAAGGTGCCGCATAAAAAATAAAAGAAAATAACTTTTTTTCTTTTCGTTGTGTTCTTCAATGTTAGGAGTGAATAAAGAGATTGGGGTGGGTTTAATTCTAAGTTAGATTAAATAAGATAAGATTTTAGTTAACGTAAATTTCAAAATAAATATTAAAAATTTTGTTAAAAGGTGTTCTAATTATATATTATATAAAAAAATCGTAAAACTTTAATTTTAATTTAATTGATTCATATAATTATTTTAAATAATATTTAATATATTTAAATTTTAAATCACAATAAATACAATCTTTTTAATCTCCATTGTAAAAAAATATATAAATCATAATAATTTATTTTTATTTAATTTTTGAACTTTAATTCAATACAAATTAAAAGATAATTATGTATAGATATTATGTATATTATGCCATGAGGATTATAAATACTACTTATTATTAAACACTTTAAATTTTGAATCAGCTTGACAAGCCTTATAAATTTCCCTCCATACTATGCTTTCATATTTTGAAAATGTACTTTTTGCTTAATAACTTTGAATTCCTTTAAAAAAAATCAAAACTTACGGCAAAATCTAATACTCGATTTCTCACACATTTTCAAAGAAATATCATTTAAAATATATAAAATTAATAATTTATGTATTTATATCATATTTTATATAAAAATTATATGTTATAATTTTTGTCAACAAAAAAATACAAAATTTTTTTTGGGTCTTATTTATTTATTTTTCAAATCTATACATAAAAATTTATTTTTAATACATTGATTTAATAAAAATATTATATTTATATATAATTAATATGTTATTTATATTTAAAAAATTATGCTAAATTAAAATTATAAAATTAATTTTGTTTTAATCTAATTGGATGCATGTTGCACGTACACGTGTCAAGTCAAATTCGAAATATAAAAAACCTTGATGTCAAGGCAGAGCAAAGTTAGAATTATTAAAAATTGGATTGATTTTAATATAAGTTTAAATCCGTCTCAACTAGATTCATTATCAATTTTTTAACGGAGGTACCCACGTAACAACCCAATTTAGGTTTTAGGTTTTTTGGCCCTTTTCATAATTTAGTTTTTGTCTATTTTATTTTTTTAATTATATAAAATTTGTAAGAAAATGGATCACCGGAGATAAGAATGATCAAATAAGCAGTATCACAGGTTCCAACCCGCTTTTATCTAACAAGGAGATTTTTCCTTTTCAAATTTGGGATCATTGGGTTTTATTTTTTTTTTAAATTGAGATCGGGGGCGATTTTAGGGTGTTTTGTCACGTTCCTCTTTGAAATATATTAAAAATATATATTTTATTATTTTATTTAATTATATATTATATATAAAATTATTATTTAATAACTTAATTAAATAAAAATATTATATTTATATATAATTTAAATATAAATTATATTAAAAAATAATATTTTTATAAATATTATAATAAATTAAAATTATTAAATTTATTTTTAATTAAATTAAGTGATGTAACTATACATATATGTATCATATTGAGATCAAATATAAAAATAATAAATTGATGTCGGTTCTATGTTGAAGTTAAATTAAATTATTAAAAAGTTGAACTGGAGTCGAAGTTAGAAAAAAATCCTCTTGATCCAATTTATTGTTATCGAAGTGAAGGCATTCACATAATATCTTAATTTGATTTTTTTTGTTTGTTTTAGATTTATTTTTTAATTGTCTATTTTGGTTCTTTTAACTATGTTTAAGAAGATAAATTCGAAAATAGTTAATTTTGATTTGATTTATTATATATAAAATGTGAGAATGAAATGCATATATTATACATAAATTAATTAGTAAATTTTCTTCTATCATTATATTTATTTAAAATATTATAAATTAAACTATACTAATTAATTTATTAAATTTATCTTAAATATTATTTTTACAAATAAAAAATTTAACCCACAATAATGTACTAGGCTATTTTTAATAAATGATTAATAATATTAGTACATTTTAGGTAGATTTAAAAATTCAATTTGCACTAAAATAAGCAAATTATTGCTAATTAGGGCTTAGGCTTTGAAAACAAAAAAAAAAACTTAAGCATGGCATAAACATAGTATATAATTTTTTATATAAATGAAATATTAAATTTAATAATTTATTTTTCATCGGTTTCTTTTAAAAGAAACTACTATTAGAAAGAAGTTTTTTTTGTCTTTTAACACACAAATATTTTTGTTTGTTTTTTTCACATCTAAAAACCATTTACTTTAATGCTATACATATGCAAGAGATTTTGTATACAAAAGAGGAAATAGAGTAAAATTTTGTTTAGATCAATAATTGAGATGGACACAACAAATTTTAAGACTTGGAAGTTATATTTAAACTTAACACTGTTTTTTAGGAGGCCCAACAAAAAAAAAAAACTTACTATTATTTTTTATTACTTTTGATATTATTTACCCAAAAATATTTTTTTTCACCCATCTTAAAAAAGATAAAAAATCGAAACATTTCAATTCAAAAAACTCCAAATACAAAATATCCGATCAGTGATCATCAGTGTCAATACGATAACCGTACAAGTGAACAGAGTAAAATAGAGCGTATAGCGCCGTCGAATACCAAAAAAAAAAAAAAACCGTGGCAAGACTCGTAAATTTACCCAAAATGGATGGGTAATTTCCTTAACCACTCTAACCACACGCTTTCATCATCTCCACTGTCAGTCTCAGTCCGCTTTACTCTCTCTTTCTCACCACTCTTTTCCTTTCCTCCGGAAAGGGGAAAAAAATATGAAAAAGAAAGCGGTACTTCTCCGCCATATCTCTCCTCTCCAACAACAACCATTTTCCTTCCCTACAATTTAATCCGCTCCTCTCTCGCCAAGCACATTTCCACAATTTTATTTTATTATTATTTTTTTAATTTCGAATTTTTGGAATTGGTTGAGCAATTATTCAGATCTGAGTACGGTCGCACCGGATCGTGGTCCAGATGGAGGAGGCACTGGAGCTGGCACGTGCCAAAGACACCAAGGAGCGAATGGCGGCGGTGGAACG